AGTACTATATATGCCCACATATATTGATCTGACACTAATTAGTATGTGTCGCCAAGCAGGTGGCTATGCTAATGAATTATATAATATTCAGCTTCGAGATGGATTAGATTCCAGCCTGCAATAGAACAAACCAGATATGAAAATATGATAAATTGGTTATGGTGCTAAGCGTAGAGATAAAAATGTCACAATAATTTGACCTGACATGCCAGCCGCTTAACATTAAAATCCAAATCTATCTAGAATTTAGAATTAAAATACAAATAAAAGCTTTAGGAAATAAGTTGCATTAGAGATATATATGGACTTGGCTTAATCCCATTGCTTAAATCTAATCTCATTTATGATGTAAAATCTTAATCTAACTTGTCTAAATGCCCAAAATAATATAAGTAACATGTTGAGCCACACTTCAAAAAGTATTGCCAATGAATCAATGTTGCACAGGTTTAACATGTACCCGGAATCTTCACCTTGTACCTTGTTAGAAAGCATGATTCCTAATGTACCCAACAATATTAATTAAGAATATGCTGTGGAATTGAAATTCATAGAAACCAAATCTGTATAGATGGATAATTCAGATTGATTTGATTTTAAATTAAATCAGATTCGATTAGCATTCGAGCCCACATTTATCCCATATAAAATATTCATTCATTACAATAGCTGCATGTGAGTGCGCTCCATTAACACAAAGTGCTATAAATATGCATGTATGAATGGACTTAATTACTACAGCAGACCATTAAGGCAATAACCCATTGGGAATGATGTAACCTAGAGAATCTCTTCGTGATTGTAATTATAATTATTCGATTACCATATTTTGTATTTACTCTAACTGCAGGTAACTCAATTGCAAGATGGGTTCCCTGCCACAGTTGTCGATTGTTAAGGGTCTCCAACAGGACTTTGTGCCCAGAGCGCTGCACCGCATCTTCGAGGAGCAGCAGCTGAGGCATGCCGACAAGGTGGCTCTAATCTATCAGCCGGACGGACCAGGACACGGAATGGCGCCCAGTCAGAGCAGCTATCGCCAGATGAACGAACGAGCCAATCGGGCAGCCCGTCTCCTGGTGGCCGAAACCCACGGACGATTCTTGCAGCCCAACAGTGACGGGGACTTCATCGTGGCCGTGTGCATGCAGCCGTCGGAGGGACTGGTCACCACACTGTTGGCCATCTGGAAGGCAGGTGGTGCCTACCTGCCCATCGATCCCAGCTTCCCAGCGAACCGCATCCACCACATCCTTCTGGAGGCGAAGCCCACGTTGGTGGTTCGCGACGACGACATCGATGCTGGCCGTTTTCAGGGCACACCAACGCTTTCCGCCACGGAGCTGTATGCCAAGTCCATTCAGCTGCCCGGCTCCAATCTGCTCTCGGAGGAGATGCTGCGCGGTGGCAATGATCACATCGCCATTGTGCTCTACACCTCAGGAAGCACGGGAGTACCCAAAGGAGTACGTCTGCCGCATGAGAGCATCCTGAATCGCCTCCAGTGGCAATGGTCAACCTTTCCATACACGACCAACGAAGCAGTGAGCGTCTTTAAGACGGCCCTGACTTTCGTGGACTCGATAGCCGAGCTCTGGGGCCCGCTGATGTGCGGCTTGGCCATCCTTGTGGTGCCCAAGGCCGTGACCAAGGATCCCCAGCGGCTGGTGACCCTGCTGGAGCGGTACAAGATCAGGCGTTTGGTACTGGTGCCCACGCTTCTGCGTTCGATGCTGATGTACCTCAAGATGGAGGGCGGCGGAGCAGCACAGAAACTGCTGTATAACCTCCAGATCTGGGTGTGCTCTGGCGAACCCCTCTCCGTATCTCTGGCCAGCAGCTTCTTCGATTACTTTGACGAAGGCGTGCACCGGCTGTACAACTTTTACGGCTCCACAGAGGTAATGGGAGATGTCACCTACTTTGCCTGCGAGAGCAAGAAGCAGCTGAGCCTGTATGACAATGTCCCCATCGGTGAGATTACCCCTTGATCTTCAGCTCCCACTGTTCCATCTAAGCCATGACCTTTGTTCCTTTGTTGTAGGCATTCCCGTGTCCAACACTGTGGTGTACCTTCTGGATGCCGACTATCGTCCCGTAAAGAACGGCGAGATCGGTGAAATCTTTGCTTCGGGACTTAATTTGGCCGCTGGCTATGTCAACGGACGCGATCCAGAGCGCTTCCTGGAGAATCCGCTGGCGGTGGAGAAGAGTAAGTGTTTCAAAATAATTTTGTATTCTTTATACCTAAACGTTATATTCCTTACCAGAATATGCCCGTTTGTATCGCACTGGAGACTACGGATCCCTGAAGAACGGCAGCATAATGTACGAGGGCCGTACGGACTCCCAGGTTAAGATCCGTGGACATCGCGTAGATCTTTCCGAGGTGGAGAAAAACGTGGCTGAACTCCCTCTGGTGGAGAAGGCCATCGTGCTGTGCTACCATGCCGGACAGGTAGACCAGGCTATCCTGGCCTTTGTCAAGCTACGCGATGACGCTCCAATGGTGACGGAAATGCAGATGGAGGCGCGCCTCAAGGATAAGCTAGCCGACTACATGACGCCCCAGGTGGTTATTCTGGAGCATGTCCCACTCTTGGTTAACGGCAAGGTGGACCGTCAGGCTCTGCTCAAGACCTATGAGACGGCCAATAACAACGAGGGTGACTCTAGCATTGTCCTCGACTTTGATTACTCCCAAGTTCCCGAAGATCTGAAGCTCACGGCTCGTGATCTCTTCGAGACAGTGGGCGGGGTTATTGGGCGTTCCACTAGAGCGACCTTGGCTCCCCACAGCAACTTTTATGAGCTCGGCGGCAACTCGCTGAACTCCATCTTTACGGTGACCTTACTGCGTGAGAAGGGCTACAACATCGGCATATCCGAGTTCATAGCGGCCAAGAATCTGGGCGAGATCATTGAGAAAATGGCTGCCAACCATGATGTCGTGCAGCTGGAGGAGGAGTCCCTAAATGCCTGTCCGCACTTGAAGATGGAGGCGGTGCCTTTGCGCCTAGAGCACCGCCAAGAAGTCATTGAGTAAGTAAATGATGGGAGTAATATCTTAAGGGAACCTAATATAAAAATGTGTTATTCTCCGAACAGCATCATTGTGGCCAGCTTTTATAACAAGGCGGACTTGGAGCAGTGGCTCAAGCCCGGCGTATTACGGACCGATTACAGCGATATCCTTAATGTAAGTCTTTAGTTACCAAAACCTACTATTAGAATCTTAATAAATCCTTCATCATACCATTATACCCTCTTATAGGACATTTGGAATGTTTTAGTGGAGAGGGACCTGAGCTTTGTCGTCTACGATCGCAACACTGATCGTATCATTGGCACAGCCCTGAACTTTGATGCACGGAACGAGCCCGAGGTGGACATCAAGTCCAAGCTACTCATTGTCTTCGAGTTTCTTGAATTCTGCGAAGGTCCCATTCGGTGAGTAATCCCAAGAGAGCTTTCCTAGACCGGTACTTAACATATCTGCAAATCACAACAGGGACAACTACCTGCCCAAGGGCCTCAACCAGATCCTGCACTCGTTCATGATGGGCACCGCCGAGAAACTGAATCCCCGCGAAAACATCGCCTGCATGCACTTCATGGAGCACGAAGTGCTGCGAGTGGCACGCGAGAAGCAGTTCGCCGGCATCTTCACCACCAACACCAGCCCCCTGACGCAACAGCTGGCCGACGTCTACCACTACAAGACGCTCCTCAATTTCCAGGTGAACGAGTATGTGCAGTCCGACGGCAGTCGTCCCTTCGGGGATGCGCCGGACGAGCAGCGCGCCATCGTCCACTGGAAGGAGGTGGGCAAGTAGGACCAGGACGGAAGGACGACCGCTTCGTCACCAAACCAGATCTGCAGCGAATTTATCACGCACCACGTATTATATTTAACTAGCATTAGGTAATGCCTACCACCTAGTATTAGCCCTAGGCATAGTGTAACAAAGCGAGAAGTTTCGTAAGTTTGTGTTGACTAGTTGTAAGCTTCCAATTTCGAGACAATTAAAGAAACAACAATCGATAATTAAGCCCGCCGTCGTTTGATTCTTTCTACTTGACGCTCACTTGACCGTGGACCAGCAATTTCCAACTCCCATTGACAACAAATCACTGGCCGTAGATAATGGCTGGAAATTCCAAAGCTGCTTTTATATTGAAAGGTTATCTTTGAGCTTCAAGCATTTAAATCTATTTAATAGGAGGCAGAATGGGATTGAGTAAAAGGTGACCAAATCTTTGAAGCTCGACGCATTACTTAAGACAATTTCGTACATTTTGGAATTCGATCAATCGATCATAATTGAGCCATTAAAGGATTACTTTCAATTCGGAAAGCTTTCCTATGTTAGTTTTTAATGGGTTAATAAATCTGCATACCCAATTTAAATTTAAGAAAATTTAAAATTTCATCGATTTTTTCAAAATTTAAACGATGTAACCCCTTATAAAATTTTCAATTTTCGGATAAATGTCAAAAATTTATTTTTCGACAGGACATGGCAAGATCGACTCAGCTTTCGATGCTGATCAAGAATATATGGTTTGTAGGGTCGGAAATGATTTCTTCACACTGGTAAAACCTTCTGATTAAAATTAAAATTCCATGAAATGGTGTAAGTATCAATAACCCAGGTACCCTTAAGGTAACCTCTAAATTTTACCACAAACAGAACTAAGTCTTATTAAATCTCCTTTAAACCTAAACCATACATAAAATTCAATAATGTAACAACCTAAGTTAAATTCTATTTCCGCAAAAAAAAAAAAAAACACAAATATGCGAATTCTGAGGACTTTTAATGGATATTCTTTATACTTTTCAAAAATTAAATCTAAAAACAATTCTAGCTTTTGGTCTGGGGATTGGTGTTGGACAAGAAGTAAGGCTTAAAAGAAAGCTTATCTGTAGAGTTTTTTTCTGTGAATTCTCGATTTCCCCCATATAATGTAAACGGTTTTAACATTAAAGCCATAAATACATATGCTAGATTTATTGTTTTTGCCTATTACACATCATTATTACATTTCAAAATTTAAGGTTTTTTTTGCAGTGGCTGCTTATGCTGCGGCTCATATATACATACATATATGTATGTATATTCCTATATCTATATATATTCATTGGATTTTTAATGAATAACGAGCTCGCCGCTGATCAGCGTCTCAAAATTTTGTTGTATGCTGCTGGGTAGGTTAATTACACACTTTACTCGACAATAATTACATAATGCTAGAGATATATATATGCAGATCCGAAGTGCATGAGTGTATGCATGTGGTGTGTTCCGTGCGAACGTTCACTTCTGGCACATCCGCCTGCTCTCGCTCTCCAGCGAAGCGTTCAGAGGTGAATATTCCTGCATTTGAATGAATGAATGTGTGTGCTTGCTTGTGTCGGTGTCTGTGGTTATGGTTGTGTGAACGGGCATGTTTACTAAATGTTTTAAGCGCTAGCCTTTACTACATACTAAACAACTGTACAGCTAATTTACCTTAATTATTATATAGTTTCATTATTTCCAGCATTTCTCAGGGTGCTGTGCTGATCTATGCTGTCTGCGGGATGGGATGATGGGGGGCGGAGGGTGAGGAAGAGAAGGGGGTCTTACTTAGCCTAATTAGGGGCGGCAGCAACGCTGCCCGTGCAGAACGGATGAATGACAAATCAAAATCCATAAAATCATAATTCACAATCCATTTATACGCATATCATCAGCTGCGGCTTCAGCTGGCTGTTCGTGTTCACTTGGTGCTGCGAACTATGCGTATAACCCTTGTGGACTATGAAGCAGCAGTCTGGTCCTGCAGCCTGTAGTTCTGGAATGTCTTCCACTCGCCGGTGTTGTAGTCCAACCGGATATGCGACTCCACTAGGCACAGTGCCGTGTTTCCGTCCTCTTGTTGAACTTTTTCCTGTGAAAAAACAAATACAAAAGGCCATTAAATACGAAAATATAAAAGTTCAACTTTCTAATGGAAATGAACAATCACTAAATTATTTTCAAGGCAATTAAAGCAGATTGAATGAAGAAATTGCTTGTTTTGTAAGCAAAATAATTAGCTTTGTAAATAGAATATGAAAAGAGATTGTTATTATTACTTATACGTGTTTTAACCACTATAAAATCGAGGGCTTTTAGAACAAAGAAATTTAAAAACCTTTACAACCTGCTTAACGACATTTAAACTAGGGATGTACCAATGTAGTATGTCCCTACAAAGTCTTACCTCTGTTTCGCCCAGCTTGATGACCAGAACATTTTCATTATTCGGTCGCGGGTTCTCCCGCAGACCAGCCATAAAACCAAGGATAAGGGCTTTATCCGGACGCGAGACACGATTCGCCTTGCGGAACATTTCATGCGCCTTGTGTACGTGCTCGTTCTGGAAACAAATAATGGGTTAGTTCCAGTTTAAAGTTCATTCGATTAGTTTATCTCACCGAAAGCGAGAGACCGCGTCGCTGTGGTGCCTGCTGCTGCTGCGCGGATTGTTGTTGGGGCTGTTGCTGTTGTGCCTGCACCTGAACCTGGACGGTGCGAGTGATTCCGGCATTGGGATTTCCTGGCTGTTGGCCCTGCCCACCGCTGGTGGTGGAGGTGACCAATCGCTGCTGCAGGGTCGGAGCCGGCTTGTGTTGGACCAGTATTTGTTGCTGCTGCTGGCGCGGCTGCTGCTGCGACGCCGATGCCGCCGCCGGGCTCGATTGCGTGATAATCGTGCGCTGCGTGCTGCCCGGCGCCGCCTGCACCTGCACCAGTTGCGGCTGCTGGCCCGGCCGCTGTATAAGCGTCAGGCCCTGCGGCAGCGTGGTCAAGCCTCCACCAACGTTGGTCATCACTGGCCGTATAATTGTTTGCTGCGAGGACTAATGGAAATTAAGATTATTAGTATTCCAAATAATTTACACAGGGTTTCATGTGAAGCAACAATATCTCTATGGCTTTGAACAGGCGCATTTCCTGACGTTTCACTTACATTTCCGATGACATTGGTGGGCTGCTGCTGTTGCACAATGACGTGCTGTCCACCCAGCGAGCTGGTTGGGATAAGGGTGGGCAGAATCTGCTTGCCGGGCTGCGTACCCTGCTGTTGCTGCTGGTGCATTTGCACACCGGTCGCCGACGTCGTCTTCACGAGACTAGGCGGTCCAGCCGCCGTAGTGGTCATGAGCGTGGTGCCACCGAGTCCCTGCAGGCTGCCCACATTGCTGATAGGTATTTGCTGGTACATGTCACCACCTATGTTTCGCAGTATAACGCCTTTTTGGGTAAGTATAATGGTCTTGTTTTTGCCAGACGTCGGTGAAACATTCAGAGCGGACACTCCGCCGGGTCCGACAGCGCCACTTGGCTGCATCAGGACCTGCGACAATTTGGGCTGTTGCGTGGCCGTCGTGTTTGCCACGATCGTGTGCTGTGGATGGGGATGCTGCTGCTGCATCTGGGCCTGCATGTGTTGTTGCTGGGCAGCCTGAGAAGCTGGTTGAATTGTCACCGGTCGGTTCGGCAGCTGCACATTCTGAATATTCAGAGTGTTCGACTGTCCGGGGGAAACCACTGCAGCAGAGGTGGCTACCAATGGCGGCGGATTCGATGATACTACAGTGGTGGCCTGCTGCTGTTGCGCCTGTCGGAGCGGCGTCATTACCACACTCGACGTACCTGATGTCTTCAACAATATCTTTGTGGGTGTCTGCGCGTTTCCACCGGCAGCTGTTGTCTGGTATAGCGTTGTGGTCTGCGGCAAAGGACGACCGTGTGTGAACGAAGTAAGCGTCGGTAGCATTGGCTGCTGCTGTTGCACCTGCTGTGGCTGCTGCGGCGTTGCTATGATGTACTGTGTCTGCTGCTGCTGCTGCTGGGGCTGCTGTTGCGTTGGCTGGGCCTGTTGTTGCGTCTGCTGTTGGATCTGTTGTTGCAGCAGTTGCTGCTGCTGTTGTTGCTGCTGCTGCTGCTGCTGGGAAGCGGCAGCGGCACTCGACGTGCCAGCTTGCTGCTGAGCACGCTTAGCCGGCTGAATAATCGTCTGCGATATAATCACCGGGCCGCTGTTTGTCGCAGTCTTCAGTTGGCTCAACGGCATCGTCTTTATGGCTTGCGACGGTATTGTCGTGGTGGTAGCAGTACTACTGCTACTAGGCGCCGCCAAAGCCTTCTAAAACAAGAAAAGGATATATCATTTAATATCAGAACATAATGAACATAATGCAGTAAACGTCGCCTTTAAAACCTACCGCACGTTGAACACTGGGTGATGATGCTAGTATGACGGGTGTGGAGCTGTTGATCAGAAGCGGCGGCTGAGACTGCTGCGGCGACTGCTGTACCTGCACTGTCTGCTGTTGCGCCTGACTGCCACTGGGCCCAGCCGCTGCTGCAGCGGCGGCCTTCGCCTTGGCGGAGGTTATCTTCACGGAGATATTGTTGGGCAGATTGGCCAGCGGGTTGGCTGCCTGACGCAGCTGCTGTGGCGTGAGCAGAGTAGTCGTGGCAGCTGTACTTGTCGAGGGCGAAACACCAGTGGCACGTAACATGGGCTTGATGTCCAGCTTCTCCATTTTGATGGTGGTATTGCCAACGGTGGTGGTGGTAGCGGTGCTAGTGGTGGCTCCATTGTTTTGTCGTTTCTGCGGCGACGTTCGGATGAGCAGGTGCGGAGTGCGCTGGACCAGGGACGGTGGCTGCTGCTGGATAATGACACGTTGCTGCTGCTGCTGCTGGCCCTGCGACGAAGGCGAGGTCTCGATCTTCTCGAGCTTGATGCTGGCTGGTACTATGATCTCCTCGCTCTTGATCTCGATTTCCTGCTTAATTCGTTTTGGTGTGTGATTGAAACTGTTGTTGTTGTTGTTTAGTTTCGCAGCAGCCTTCGGAGTGCGCGGGCTCTTCGTCTTGGCCTCGACGGCGGGTTTTCCGGGTTGGTTATCCACAACAGATGTGGCGGTGACCTGGGCGAACTCCAGTGTAGCTGTAGCATACTCCGGCGTCTCCGGTTCGCACTCCATGGCCGATTTACCCGCCAGCTCCTCGTCCAGCGGCTCCTCTAGGCTGCCAGCGCTCTGGTTGAGCACTTGTGGCTCCATTTTGATCTCAAAACTGTTGTTAGCAGACGTGGGAGTGACGGGCGTCTCGCCTCCACTAGCTGTTGCCCCATCGGTCGGAGAGCTGTCGCCCGTATTGGCAGCGGCTGCCGTGGCCGCTGCGGCTGCAGCCGCTGCTTGCTGCTGCTGCTTCTGCTCTTGTTTCTTCTGTTGCTCTTCCAGTTGTTGCTCGCGCTTGCGCTTCTTGGCGGCCGCATATCCCAGCGGCTGTTCGGTGAACTCGATCAGCTTGATGCCGCCATCCTTGCGGCCAGCTGGCGTCCGACTGAGATTGGGCCTCTGGGCGGCATTGCCCGGAACGGTGGCCGAGCGGAAACCTGTGGTCGGCATTCGCGACGGAATTCCCTTCAGCGGAGTGGTGTCTGTCATCTTTCGAGGCATGCCGCGCGACCGCAGTGGAATTGTGGGGGCGGACGCCTTCTTCAGCGAAGACTGCGCATCCGCCGATTTGTGCAGCAGCTCAGTGCGCAGCTGTGCGCTCTTGGGCTTACGCTTCAGCGTGAAATGCTTGACGGGAGCGGGCTGTTGACCCACCTGTAACCAGCAAACATTGGGGTTAAACATAATTTTAAAGTTTTGTCTTACGAATACATTACCACTGAGATCAGCGCATTCTTATTCAGGTATTGGCACTCCAGAGGCAGCATGCCCAAGTCCGAGTGTTTGGTGACCAGTTTGCGCAGGTCGTTGACCATGTCTGTGAAGATCGGACGCGTGTCCTCGTAGTCCGAGATCTCTGTGTTCAGCGAGCTGGTGGCCGGAAAGGTCTTCATAGTCTCCGCCAACATGGAGACCCACAGCTCGGAGTCCAGCCCTGCCACCTCGATCACTTCCTCCAGCTCCGCCTTCCACTGCAATTGACGGCAAACAAATTAGAGCGAGCCACCGAGAGCCACCCAGCGCCGCAACCCACCCACACACATATGGCACGCGCGCGAGCAAGAGAGAGCTCGCGTAAGAGAGAGAAATGTGTACACAAAAGTAGAAGTGGCGGGAAACACATTGCTTATATTTATTTTCACCAGTTGGCGAAATCGCCCTGCAATTGGCAGAAAATAATAGCAAGGACACCTCAGGAAACTTGCAAACTGATTGGATTTGTCGAATTTTCCAAACATTTTCACCATTTTCAGCAATTTTCACTATGGTTCATGTTCACCAACAGAAAGCATAGGCTGTATACGTGTTTGTATCTCTCAGTGCGTGCATGTGTGCGTGTGGGCTGGCTGGCTGGCTGCTGTTGGCTGGTGTACTTTTTTCCCATACACCAACGCCATTTACCTCTTCCACCAGACGGCGCGGAATGTGAAGGAAACTGAGAAGGAGCTTCAGCTTGACCTGCGTCTGCAAGTCTGGGAAGCATTCCTTGATGTTGCGCAGCACCTCCTTGTTCAGTTGGGAGCATATCGAGCCGTTTATCCACGAATCGTTCGAGGTGCCCAGTTTATTATGCAGCCACAGTGATGTGTCGCTGTCCCTTACGTTCGCCATTTTTAACGCCTTGCGCCTGTCCGCTCGCGGGGCACACACTGCTGTTTACGCCAAACGTTGACCCGCCCTGTTGCACGGCACTGGTTAATTACGTTTTTCACTTTCCGTCGCGCCTGCACGTCAACAAAACACACGGAAAATCCTTCGAAAAATTGTAATAGGAAGCGCACGCACACATTAAAAACGGAGGAAAAAAGTGACGCCAGTGTGACCGCGGTGGCCGAACGCGAGAATACTAAATACACTGCTTGCATTACGCCAGCCCTGGCTTCTTGGCGTTTTAGTGTGGAAAAATACTTAAAACTATAGCTGCTGGGCACACTGGATTTTTCGAGCAAGCTACATTTTTTAAATAGGAATTATTGAAATGGAAATCCTGAATGAAGATGCATCAAAAACACTTACAAAACCACCAAAAACTAGCATGTCCACGGGCGGCAAAATCCTGATAGCAGCCACCGGCGGAATCGGCATCGGCCTGTCCATTGTGTGCGCCTCATTTGTGGCACCTGCCTTTCGACGGTTTTGTTTACCTTATGTGCCCGCTACAACAGAACAAATCCAAAATGTGCTCAGCTTCCTGCCCAAGAATTCCCGTGGCAAGCTGCTGGACATTGGCTCCGGCGACGGCCGCATCGTGGTAGGTAAGTCTAGCTGCTCCCAAGCAACTCCCAATGCCCCTTATTAATTTACTTATGTAATCCTCTCAAGCGGCGGCCCAGCACCACCGGGGACTGAGAACCGACGGCGTGGAGCTGAATCCTTGGCTAGTCTACTACTCTCGCCTGTCTGCTCTACGTCACGGGGTCTCAAAACAGACGAAATTCTTCCGCCGCGATCTGTGGAAGTTCGATATAAAGGATTACAATTTTGTGGTCATCTTCGGAGTGGAGCAGATGATGCAAGACCTGGAGCATAAACTGATCACCGAGTGTCCCCACAACACAAAGATCATCGCCTGCCGCTTTCCACTGCCCAACATGGAGCATGCAAAAATCATTGAGGACGGCGTAAATACCGTGTGGTTCTATGATCTCGACAAACAGAGTGGGAGCAGCTAATAAATGGCTGGGAAAAGTTTTAAGATATTGTAGTTTTATTGTTTTCCACACGTAGAAAACGTCGCTTAAGACAAAATACTAGAGGGGAAGAGACACTCGGGTCATTATAACACACTTTTTACCGTATAAGAATACAAAAAGGACACTGGCACGAGACCTAGATGAGAATGGAAAGCTGTATCGCTCGCCGGAATACAAATGTTGAGAAGGAACAATAAAATCAGAGGCAGTGACGCTTGCAAGCGAAGACGAAGGCTAAAAGCGACGTCCCATGTAAATGCACTTGGTGGCCTCCTCGCGATAAACGTCAACGAAACCGATTCTAGTGTAAAAGTTGATCTGCCCAACATCTCGCTCGGGGACGCACACATGAATGCCAAAACATCCGTTCGCTCGCAAAGCGCCCAGCAGAACAGTTAGCAGTCGCTTGCTGATCCCAGAGTCGCGCTCCTCTGCCTCCCGGAAAGTGCAGGCACTAATTACGGCGGGAAAGGAGCCGCTTACTTCTACTGGACACTGCTCCACAGTCTCGTTACCGCTGCTGCCGTGAAACTGCTCCACAAAGCGGGCGACAAGCTGGGTCAAACCCTCACCAGTCTCGGAGTCCTGCAGCCTGAACTCCTTGGGATACTTGTCACGCATTTCCGAATGCCAGCACAGCTCCCGGTTGCGTCGAAATATGTTAACATCCAGAGCGGCGCAGGCATATCCCACGATGGAGTTGTTATCGTCATACGCCACAATGCACAACTCCGGGCTGAGGGTGACGAAGGCGCCCACCAATCCGTCCGCTACGATGCTAGCCACTCTTACAGGCAGCGGAAGAGGAATGTAGCCGCCTCCGTTCAGCTCCCGTTGCCATTGAATGTAAGTGCGGGTGCATACCTCATTGACATTCTCCTCGTCAGCTGGACAGTAGGGTCTCAAGAGATAGTAGTTCGTTGTGGGTTTTTCAGGAAGCTTGTAGACGAACAGATCGTTGCCCGAATCCACAGGCATCAAACGCTGTAGGTCAGCAATTAGGCCGCCCCGAAAGACCCAGGGCTCCTGGTCACCGGACATGAAGGCCTCTTTCCAACCCTTGCTGAACCCTAAAATTAGATTGAATGATAAGTTGCTAAATCAAAAATACAATTCGATTATGTTACATGTATAACTGCCTTCCGTGTAGGAGGACATGTTCTGAGGAAATTTTCCCAGTGCCAGCCACTTAATGTAGCAGTTGAGCAGGGACAGGGCGCCGGATATGTCCCACACATAGGAGTACAGCTCGTGACAGATCTCCTTGTTCTGGCAGTTGGCGATCTTGATCAGCAGCTGTAAGACGCTAGTGCAGAGATCGTCGAAGTGCTCACTACGTTGCAGCCACTCACTGACCTCCGGCTTGCTGCTCTTGTCAGCATCGCCACCAGCGGCGGATCGGTCTTGCAGTATTACATTTGCGTTACCCTTCAGCCAATTGAATTCGGAGAGCAGCTTGAGGCCACGGCTGCCGTGCTCGAATGGCAGGTAAAAGAGATCGCATAGCAGGCCGAGATCCTCAACAGTTATCCTTGATCCGCATTTCTCCACGGTCGGGCTGAAATAAATGCAATAAACTTTAAAAAAATTTTAAATAGAATGCAGAGCTGTCATACTCATGTTCGTTAGCTTGTATAGATGGCGCATCGCTCTCCTCGCGCATCTCCGTGTTCGAAATTGGTGATGAAGTCCCGCTCTCCACATGCATGCTCTATAAAAAATAAATAGAGATGAATAACATACACACAGTTGCACAATAAATCATCTCCAACTTACATGCACATCGTTTACAGACTCCATGAGCACATCGTCGGCCACCAGCTTGGGTGCTTCTTCTTTCGGTGATAACTGGGAGGCTATGCTGCTGCTGCACTCCATTGGCTCGTTGATACCGGCACTCACTGGACTTAGACTATTGTCGTCCACCATAGTGTCCACATTGAGATTGGCCACCGGTTCCAACTTGTTAACTAATTCTTCTTCCGCCGGCGCCGCCGTCTCCACCCCCAGCAGTTGCTGCTGCTCCTTCTCCTTATCCTCGTTTAGTTCGCTTTTCGGTTCACCATCGCTCGGCACCAACACTTCGGTGTCTAGACCCAGTTTCACCGAAGCCTCTACACTCTTTGCCTCCATGATGGGCACTGGGACGATGGAGATCGGTATCTTCTTGGGTAGTTCAATATTGCAGGCAGCCGTTGTGGGTATGGGATTGATGATCTCCTCATTCGTGACCACTTTGGTGGGTGAAACCAGAGAGTTCATTACAGGATTGGAAATGGGTGTCAGCGAGGAGGTCACGGTGCTGTTGTTAAGGGTTTGAGACATTAAAATATTAATTACTGGCAAAAATTAATTACCAGACTTCCGCAAGCGCCTGCAGTTGGGTGGTGTTCACCTCTGGCACTGTTCTTGTATTCGTAGACGTGGTCGTAGTGGTGGTGAGACTCATGCAAGTGTTTATTGAGGGTATAATGGGAATGATGGGCATGACCATTTGCACTTGTGGCTGCGGCTTGGTTATTGGTCCCCAGGCTTCCTTCTCCATAAAGAACTCCGGCAGCCAGTCCGTAATGGCGTTCCTAGAAAGACTTTAAATGTGAGTACATTTGGCAAGGATAAATATTAAAGCTAAGCGCACTTTAGAGCCACCCTTGGATGGTAAACGTTCTTCGAGAGGAACTCTGCCGGCAGTTCGTCCTCGTTTTCAGTCTCTAATTTAATATCTGCACTCAATGAACTGTTCATCTTCGAATCCAGGCTGCAGCGTGACCAAAAGGCCAGAGAGTGAATGGCTATGAAGTTGGCGTAAAACTCGCAGTTGGGATTAGTCATCACCCCACGCAGATATGGTATCAGCTCTGGAGACCGCCCAGTGTAAGGCCCCAGGAATACGCGCTTCTGATCATAATCGTTGGCATGAAGATTGTCCCAGATGCAAGGCGGACGACGCAGCACTTCAGTAATCTCCTGTATTGACTGAATGGATATGGTTTTCGATATCACTTTGTCCCCGTCCACAGGATATCGATGTCATTGTTCAGCTTTGAGCCCAGGGTGTTGAGGTACTCCGACTCCTGAACATTGGGCACGGCCCGAGAGGCGCAGTACTGCGTGGGACAGAACAGGAATTTGGGGCTGCCAAGATGCGTGTATATCTCATTGGTGACCGAAACCTGGGCGTTGGCGAACGTCTGAAAGACCTCCTTATCTCCCTTTGAGAGCTCCGACTCGATGTCGTCGAATAACAGGGCGTAGGCTTCACACCCAAACTGCGAAACTTGATCTAGCTTTCGCTTCAGTGTGGCTATTTCCTTGGGGCTGCTGTAGGTCATATCCAGCCCAGGTGAGAGAGCATAGTAAAAAATGATCCCCGCCTCCTTTGCCGCCGCAATTAGACCTGTAAGGACCCGGGAATTAGGGCAAGGATTAGGTTATTGGAAAAAGTACCTACTGGACAGGTGATCCGCCTCCTCGACCGTGTAAAGCTCTCGCCAAAACGCCCGATGCTTGTAGTCGTCCTTGGGGGCATACATGTACGAGGGACTGGAGCCATGGAGCTCCATTGACTTGAGCTTCCGAAAGAGGTCTTTGCGTTGCTCCGTAGTCCATGGCCGGCCGTAGAACCCCTCGATTACTCCGCAGATAAACTGCCGCTGGCCATCGGATTGAGCTGAACCCACTGCGTCTGCCATGGATACGGATGAGCCGGGACTTGAATGTTATTTTCCTTCTCAGGATTCAGCAAAGAACGGTCAAAACCATGGAGGCCGTATCGATACTACCGTCAAAACAAAACACAATCGCTATCGATAGTCACGTCTCTAATGTTCATATTTCACGGCTGTTTCTTTTGCCCCCACTTTTTCGCCTTGAAAATCGAGATAAAAATATAATAACAAATTTCTGAAAAGACAAATAAAGAATTTTTTATTAAAAGAAATTCCACAAGCGAAAATAAAAAATATCGATAGTGCAGCTATTTTGGTATTTTGCCGGTATTGTAGTTCTTAATTTCGGTATTTTTCATACTCCGGTCACTTTGTTTGGGGCAGTGTTTGTTTTTATTTTGTTTGGCTATTTGTTTAAATTTTACTAATGCAGCCTTTTATTGTTATACGCAACTACAAGGCGGATGATGAACTGAAGTACCAGGAGCTGGTACGGGACTACATTATGTCCTTCTCCAATAAGTCCTTCTTCGTCTTTTGCTTCAGAGAGGTGAGTGCAACGACTACGTGACCTATCTCTAATTGTAATCTTTCTTGTTCTTAATTAATAATTACTTGTTAATTATCCAACCCAGATCACCCTGCAGTTCATAGTCATTACTTGGGCGATATTCTTCATATTTCTTGGAGTGCCGCTTCTTTTCTGTGCCCTCACCGTGCCGATCTGCATCTTCTGCCTCTTCGTGGGCACATATTTCTCCTTCTACGCGAAGGCAGTGGAGCTAATGCGGGTAATTTGGAGTACTTTATCCCTTGGGCTAATATTTCCACGACGCAACCCTTTATTTTAGACGAAGCCATTGCAATCCCTAGTGGCCGAGTGCTACGAGCCCTTCATCTTCCGCTGCTCACCCAAGGAGGCCAGCTACCAAATCTTCATTGAAAATTGTCCCTACGAGGAGTCGATTAAGAACAAGTTCCGTCGCCGGATTGTGGCCGCGATTAGTGTGAAGAACCATCATGCTGTTTACAATGCAGCCTGGATCTATCGCTTCGCACTTGAGCCAAACTATCCATACCAGACGATCATGGGTCCGATGGTGAAGCTGTTGGCCAAGAACTGTGTGAGCGGTGGCTACGCATCGCTGGAGTGCACAATGTCCGAGTGGCAGGAGTGCGAGCGAGACTTCTACGACGACTTTGGGTTCGTCACACGCCAGATTTACCATAAGAAGATTATCGGTAGCAGCCTGTCGGTGATGAAAACCCAGCTAACGTACAGTCTGCGAGCGGATGAGGCTCTTCACAAACAAAACTAGTGCTATACCAAAGGTGCAATATCTATATAGAGAATCTCGATCTGTTCTGTGAAAGCTAGTTCAATATTTACGTATTTTTTCTGTGAACTGTACATTCCAGTTACGTATTGCGTCCCGAACACAAATCACACCGAATTATGCTCTAGTTGGTGTTTCTTTAAGAGTAAGAGTGAAATTAGCCATAGTTTAGACTATTTCCTATATAAGCTGGCAATAGTCGATGATAAGAAGCACCACCTAGAACTAAGCTAATAATAATCGCCACTCTCGAAATGTTTAAATAATTGTAATCACGTTGCGACATTGCTTTTGTCCTGTTTTATTATCTCTGGTTTATTCTTTGACATATTCTATTTAAATAAATAAAATATTTAGTAATAAATAAAAGTTGCATAATGTTTTAGCGTAGATTTTTAATGCCACACATCTAACGATTCGCGCTTGTTGCTGTGTGATTCTGCTGTAGGTACATTAATTGCTCATTCTTTGATGCATTTGTCGGTTCTTAGGCCCGTTAACATGGTTGAATTAAAGTGTAATTTAGAAAATAGGTCCAGTTTTGTATTTGCTCTTGCACTGCGTATAAAAAGCGATCATGCCGGACATGCTGCATTGTTTAACTAATTGAAATCTGTATTCATTTTTATTTGGGATCATCTGTTCCTTCCATATGCATATACATTTATGTATATTTAGTTTTTCAGTTACAAGTTTTGCTTTAGCGCAACTAATTCTTAAAAAAATAAACTGGAGCCGCACGCTGGCCGCTCCGCACTGTAAATGTAACTATGTTTCGATAAATTTAGTTTAGTTGGTTTCACTTGCATCAACTATTTATTAAAGCGTGTTTCAAAACTGGCTGTGAAATTAGCATAGTTTCCCATTTCGTTATCAATTTGTATTGTTTTCTCCTCCTCCCTTCCGTATAATAACCCGCGGCTGTTTAAGGTAAATTGAATTCTTTTGGTTTCGTCACATGCAGCCTCCACTTGGGTAGCTATCGTCGCATCTGGCAGCGGTAACTGAGCTCTTAGAAGAGTTTCACCCGGCGCTTCAGCTCATTGCGTCGCCACTGGGGAAGTCTGTAGAACTCCGACCTGGCACACTGCAAGATGTGCTCAAACTCAATGTCCGACAGATGGCGCTGAAAAGGATTAAGAAGTAAGTTATACTCGAGATTCCTCACTCGATCTTCGTCTTGAGCTCACCTCCAGATTACAGCGATCAACGTCCGAGGGCAGACGATAGTTTGTGATAAGCAGTAGGTGATAGGGATAGATCTTAGCCGGCTCGTGCACCAGCATCGAGTGAGCCATGTTGGGCAGACTGCGACGAATGAGTCCAGCTTGCGGATAGTGGTAGGAGAGAGCCCCCGAGTACGTGCTTGAGGCGGGCAGATCCCCGCCCATCAGGGCACGTCTATCGCCCTCGGTGATCGAGTCCACAGAAGCTGGAAGGAAGAAAATACTTTATAATAGAAAATAAACTCCATTGCGAAGGGTTCCGGATCTTACCCTCTGATTTGCCGCAGCTCAAATCCGTGCTGTGCGTCTTGTCGCCTAGACCTCCATACGAAAAATCCTACATGGAGAATTCTTAATTAGTTTTCCAATCATAAAACATGAGATGACATGCAAGCTAACTAACAAAAACCCAAAACCAGTGCAAAATTATAAAGAAAGTACATAGATCTTAACTAAAAAGGGATTCAATTCAAAAGATGTCTACGGCATAACAACAGCAAAGCGGTCTTACAGTGGCACCATGCATCGTGGCCGCAGCAGATGTGGTGGAGCTGAATGTGTGGGAGCGTGGTGCCAGGCCGTATCCTGGCTTTGGCACATGGCGCAGCGCACTCACCACTGGGCAGAGTAGATGGTGTTGTTGATGTTGATGTTCATGTTCATATGGTTGATGCAATGTTTGAGTTTGAGTTTGGTTTATAGTGTGTATGGGTGTTAGTTTTTTATGGATGGGTGGGTGGTGTTGGTGGTGTCAGGGCAACAATAGCATACACATAGATATTTGATTGGAGTAGCATAGGATTAGACACACAAGGAAGCAGCAGACCAACCAGTTGACAATTATATTGTTAGTTCATCCGTGTGAGCGACCAGTAGCAGCATTAGAAGTAAGAGAAAGACAAACGAGTACCGTCAGCATCGATCGACTTATGATTACATAGGGCTTAGCTACATGTATATGCTATATTAGAGGTAAGCTACGAGACATAACTGACACAGCCCGTCACCGAGGAGGATCTGATCTAGAGCAACACAGGCAGCACTTACTGAGCTGTAGCCGTTGCGTATATAGGGCAGAGTCGTCGTTTTGAATCCGTATCCGGGCTTGGGCGGCGATCGGTAGGAATGTATGGCTATAAACGTAATTGGGCTATATATATAATATCGGAAACATCTACATAAATTGCCAAGCGAATCGCGCGCCTGAAACACTAAGGATCAAGGATCGTTCTACTGGCTAGAGGATTACCATTGTAACTGGGTGCGTTTCCCAAGGATTTGCCAAGCGAGCCGCGATAGCTGGTGGAGCGGTCGAACATCTCGTCCTCGTAGAAGGGCTTCTGGTGGTCCAGATTGCGCGAGGGTGAGGCTCCAATGGGTGATTCATATCTACAAGGGCAAGGTGTAATGTGATTAATAATTAAGCTGCTACATAGCTCCATAACATTTAAATCTAAGCAGGGTGCAATCTTATCGATCCATATTTAAACCTAATAAAAACTTCAAAAATAAAACCAGCAAATGAGCTGTTAAGCCAAGCAAACTGATAAGCTGCCTTAAATAGTTTTAACTTGATTTTTAACCAATATAAACGATAAGGTAATAAAGATTGTGAATTGGTATTACAATTATTTGTTAAGCTGGTAACCTGCTCATACTTATATCTGATTATTCGGACGAACTTTCAAGAGCGACCTACCTCAACTTGTAGACCGGCTCCTTGGAAGCAGAAGGCGTCCTGGAAGCATTGCGCGGATCCAGATTATTTTGCTTCCACTTCCTATACTTGGCATGCTCCTTGAGGTCCTTGGCAATCGCTGAGCCGATGCCCGAGTTCAGTTTCTCAAGCTGCTCGGCCTCGCGTTGAAGGCGTCTAGTAAAGGTGACGAATTCATTAGAGGCTTTATGGAACCAACTAGCTTGGCTACTCACTGCTGCTCCTCGCCGTTCTTGGCCTTGCCATTAGTTTGCTTGCCATTCTCATCCTCGTCGTCGGACACGGGTACACCCTTGTAGGTGTCACTGTACCGCCGCCGGCGTTCCGGATCCGTGTACGGATACGGTGGAGCGGGAAAGTCGTCCCGCTCGATCTTGGGCTGTTCGCCCGGCGGCGGCTTCTTGGCAGCCGGATAGTGGGACAGCTCTATGGGCTCCTCGTTGTTCATGCCAGGACTCTTGGGACGCGGCGTCTCCGAGCGGATGGCATCTACCAGGACCTTCATGGCGCTGCGTGTCCTCGAGTGAGGACGCGAAGGAGGACGGCTACCAGCCACTGAACCCGCATTACTGGCCGTGGTGGCGGCGTAGGATGAGGGCCGGTGGAAGTGCGGCGACAGCGGCGTCTTGTCATAAGGATCAATGGGTTTTCGCAGATAGTGAGGCGCATCCGTCAGATAGCTGTAGGTATAGATCCTCGAGATGTCCTCGGCATTGGGTCTTCCATACTCACGGAGTATCAGACCGGGACTAACCGTTCGATAGTGCTGCAAAGGTAATCTCATTAGTTCGCAGTTCAGGTTACATCTCTTCATGCAGTGCCGCGTGTTTTTTGTTTCAGGGGGTTTTATTTTTAGTACAATTCAAAAACGATGGCATAAATGATGGGAAATAATTAAAATCATAAAGAAAACAAACCTTGCGGCTAGAGGAATAAAGTGAACCATTAAAACTCGGTGTTCTGGAGCGGATGTACTGAAAACGAACGATAAATAAAAAACGCAAGCTCAAAACAACTAAAATGCTAAAAAAATTCAAATTATAAAATCATAAATTGCATTTGTGTGTATGTGTGTGTGTGTGTTGGTAGGTGCAAAGTGGGAGTGAGACTAAAAGAGCGATATTCTTTAAAGTATAGTGAATTAATAAGCTCAATTTTAGGTTTCCGCTGGGTAACATAAGTTGTTATACCTATTATCATAACATTAAATTATATTCTAATGGGGAATATTAAACAATACCGCTCAGTTCAGTTAAAAAAGGTGGATACGTGGATGGCTTGTGTTTCGTGTTTGCACTTTGCAGCATTCAAATTAGTAGCAAGCTCAAAAGCCGCTTTAAGATCGGGATCGTGTTGGATTCTCGTGCTTCTTTGTTGCTGGATATGGAAATTGGGCCATTGGTATCCATGTCAGAGTCACTACTACCTACCATCTCACTAAGGGCACTGGAGCTCATTCGGTCGCACTCGGTATCCGTGAAGTTGCCATTAGAGGCGCCACCGGCCACCGAGGTACTTCCGCCGCCTCCTCCGTTCAGGATAATGCCAGACTCAGAGGGACCTGGGCCGCATCGTGGATGCCAGATGGCACTGCCCTGCAGGTACATCTCCTCGCCGTCGCCGAAGGGATCACCACACTTGGTGCAGCGGGCACAGGTGGGATGGAAGTGGTGATTGTCACCCGCCTGCAGAACTTTGCCGCTAATGAAGCGACTGCAGTAGGCACATTTCACCCCGAATCCCTTCTGATAGCACTTCTCACAGTAGGGCACCGCATCCTTGCCCATATATTCCCCGTTGAGCACCACCTGGCAGGACTTGCACCGGAAGCAGGAGACGTGCCACTGCCTGTCGAGGGCCACCAGAGCCTGGCCCTCCTTCAGCAGCTCTCCACATCCGGCACAGTCGTTGGGATCGTAGTCCTCCTTGAGATGAGCCTTGTGCGAAATCACACCGCCGTGCTGCTGGTGGGCAGTGGCCCGCGTGGGACTCTCCGCCGGAGGAGCTGGCGAGGAGACGCCTCCTCCGCCTGCCTGACGACTGGGCGACACTGGAGCACCCGAGACACACTGCTCGCAGAGCACCTCCTTTCCGGTATTGGTTACCTTTGAGGAAAATAAATGTTTATCATCAGACTAAGCCATTATATGAAAAGGTAATGTAACTCACCTTGCTGCCCGACTTAAAGGGCTGCTTGCACTTGGAGCAGGTGAAGCACTTCTGGTGATACGTCTTGCCCATGGTGCTGACCACCTCACCCTCCACGTACTGCTGGCAGTTGGCGCACTTGGTGCCGTAGAGGCGCTGGTAGTCCGGTATGCAGTAGTAGGCACTGTCCTTTGTGAAGAATCCGCCCGTGGCCAGGGATTTCTTGCACTGGCAGCACTGGAAGCAGGCCTTGTGGAAGTGGTTGTCCGCCACGCGGAGCACCTCGCCGGAGCATTTTTTCGTGCATTTCGCACAGTAGATTTTTTGCTTACCTATGGAACAAAAGAGATAGAAGGAAGGATCACCGATTAGTGGGGTTGACAAACGCTGTTAAACCAATTCATTCAATCAGTGGTATCGCCAGATTACGTATACGCAGTGTTGCGCTGATGTCATATGCATGTGATGCGATAATGCCCCAACCTTGCCCCGTTTCGTCGCGCTCAGTTCGAAGCCCCGTTCTGCCGTTTGTGTGAGGGTACATATTTGTATGTCTGTAGATGTTGTTTCGGCATAAAAAATATATATTTATATATCGTATGTCGGTTGAACACACTGAGATTCGTTACACTAGTGTCTCCGACAGTATGTTTGTACGTGTGCCTGGTATTGACAGTCTCAGGCAGGCAAAACTCTCCTACATATGCACATAGACATATATCGTTGTTAAGTTGCCATGACTCACACGGCTGGCAAGTAATTAATCTTATCATTGATAAGGCCAAGGGCAGCACACACCAGATACTCGTATTCCTTTTATATAAAGCCAAGCTATATACTCGCGCATTGTCAATGTACACACATGTGGGGAGCAGGTTAAATAGATCCGACATTTGCATGTTTATATTTCAGATACATGTGTATAATGTATGGGAAATACCCAAACAATTTAAAGAAGAAAAAACGACTGTGAATGGGGTGAAACGCAAACCCTAGTCAGCAGGCAAGACAACCTGTTTGTGGTTAAGCGAAAAGACCTACAAAGAATTTGAGATGGGGTCAAAATTGTCATTTTTACAGATTGGCAGAAACTAAACCCATAAACCCAGATTTCTTAGAAGGCAAGCGTTGCACTTTTTCTTATGCCCGGTTTATTTGATGAAAGTCACGTTGATAACTACAAGCCTTATCACATGTTTGATCAATGAAGTGGCAGTATCCCATATTTGTTCAACACGTTCTTTATATAGTATCTTGGTATATAAAGAAGAAGGACAATATCTTTCGAAGAAAATTAAATAGGAAGTCATATAAAATTAAAGGTTGAGGTTGCTAATTTAGGGTAAGGCATCATGCTTCTAACCTAATAATATGTCCATACAAATATACCACTCTTAAAGAACAATAATAATACTTAATATATGTATGTATGTATTCTATCTATGTATATATTCTACCTATATCTTTATATTATTTTGACCCCAAAACCGTTGTGTTCAGTACACTCTGAGGCCTGGGGCTTCCCAAAGACCTGGCATATACGGGGAATGAGCCCAGTAGCGTGACGGCAGAACGCATCGAAACTAATTGTTGGCCATGACTGATGAGTCGATCTGTTCTGGCGGCTTTCTTCTTTCGCCTCCCCGGTGGCTGGCGGCTTCACTAGTCTGCGGTTGATTAAATAGACAGCGGAACAACAAACAGCTAAAAGCAGCCGGTTGCAGCACATAAAAAGAGAATATAAATATGTATATGTGTGTATGTCCATATACACAAGTCCAACCGCATTATGGCTTGCTGTCTAAACACTTTTCCTATGCGTCTCTCTGTCTCTTTTGTTTTTTCAGGCCTTTTGGATTTTTTGTTTTTCCACAATTTGTTGCCTTTTCAAATTTGGGTTGTTGCTTCCAAAATAGAAATTATATTGATAAGCTCGTCGTAGCTCAGGTATATTTGTGCCTGTGCCGTTAGCTTGTTTTATAATAGTGACGTAGACCGAATAAATAGGGACCAGCCGCTATCTAATTTTTCATTAAGGAAAGGCTTACCTTTTTTGGCCATAACTGATTCAACTATTATGTTTTTCTGGGTTGCTTTATTGGGGATTCGACAATGAAGTACAAAATATTCTAACTTTATCCTAGAGAAACTCTTGGAGAGATCAATGGGATACCCTATACTCAGATTATCAAGTGCTTAATACGATTATAGACTCTATAATGTAGAGTATTAAAGCTTTATCCAGTTTATTGATATTAAGGGATTGAAAGATTTACAGAAAGCAGAAAATTGATTATGGAATGCATATATATACATATATATATATATATACAAAAAAAGGAAGTGCATTGAACTTGAACCTTAAGCCAAAATCCTCAGAGCTCTTACTTATTTAAGCTTGAAAAGGAGTGCCTCTCGACGTATCAGTTCAATGCAGAGTTCATTTTCATATCAAGATAAATAACTTTGTTTGATGTTTAACTTAATTCTAGTATATTTTGGTCAAATTAATCTGACAAACAACCCACTATATATGTTAAATAATTTATATACGCCAAGAATGAATATTTATTTGTGCGGTGACGCCACCGAGACTTTTCACAGAGCGGTCCGTCCAGTCGGAATGACAGCAGACCTGATCGCTATAACAGAGAAACTACAACAGATACGATTCCCCGAAAGCGGGCTTTCGTCACTAACGTGGACTTCCGACCCTACTGAAAACTATGTGATTGTAACAAAATAGTATCTGAGTGTGCGTGTGCGGGTTTGTTTAAACTTCGTGTACGTGTTTTGCTACTTTTAATTATTTTCATTTATGTATGTTCGGACTGCCTGTGTCGGCTTTGTTTATTATGCAATCACACATTTTTCCGCGATTTACATATTGATTTTGGCGCTTTGTTTATTGGGTTTTCAGCACATTTTCCCTGCATTAGCACTAGCCCGATAATTGGGAAACAAAATCCATTGCAAATTGCAAATCTTCATGCAACAGAGAGCCGGCAAAGCGGCGTCGTCGCTCAAGTTAGTATAATAAAAGTTTGAGCGCACACTTTTAGGTTCGCTTTATTTATTTTTTATTGTAATTGCGGAGAGCGATTTTAGTGCTGGCGCTGGTGATGTCATCGTCGCCATCGACCGCCACCGCCGAGAGCTTTTCGCTGCGGAGTTGGACGAGTGCGAGTGCGAGTATCTTTGCCACAACTTGGACCCGCAAACAAACTGGTTGGTGGCCGTTGTGGAGCACGCTCGAATTTGAAATACAAACAAACAATACGAAAACACGGCCCGAAAACACAATATACATTTGTACATATATAATGAAAACCCGTCCGGCGACCAGGGGGCAAGTCCAAGGTTACCCTCGCATTTCTCGAGCAGGCCTCAGAGAACCCCATCGATTCGATGCGGAGAGGTCAAGTTGCAGGGCAAAGGAAATATTTTAATTAACATTTGCCGCGCCCAAAAAACGATCCTAACCTTAAAGCAATGCAAACTTCGGGAAGCCGAAGTTTATATACCCTTTGCAATTGAATTATTGAATCTAAGAAAGCTTAAAATATTCGCAGACAAAACAAAACAAAAAAACTGATAAATAAGCCAAAAAAGCATTAATTTCTACAATTAGATAATCCATTTCTGGAAATTAAATATGTATGTATATATGTATGTATAAGCGGCATAAACATAATCTAGGCAGAATCATATAGTTCATGAAACTGTATAAGCCATGATTAATAAATTTATTTTATTCTATTTACTCCATTCTATTCATTTATATTTTCATTCTTCCCTGTGTATAAAAAATCGAATTGGAAAAGCAGAAAAGAAAAAATACCATAGAGAAAGAGAGAAAATGACCTTCGTCAGTGGAGCGACATGCACTCAATGCGCACTGTGCGAGTTCACCCCGGAGCAAGTGCGTCAAATCCTTGACTGAATTTCAGGAGGATAATGTCGAGGACAATGCAGGTCAAGGCGATACGCGGAAACAGGTGAGCAGGCAGGCGCAGGCACTGTGGGAACGTCACTTCGACGTGACTGGAAAAGAGCCTCCTAGTTGGCAGACAATAAATAAAACCGAAAGCAAACATCATCGCTCTCTTGTGCATTCCACGCCCACGATTCCTCCACCTACGGAACGGTTCTGTTTATACGCACACAAACATTTTTAGTTGTGAAGAGCAACAGCATAAAATATACAAATTGAGCGAAAAAATAAACGAATCAACAGCTGTGGTCACAAAAATAGCGAACAAAGTGGAAGGTGCAAGGTCTGTGGAATGAAACTTTAATGGGAAACTTGCCTTTTACTTCTATTGTTGTGATATTGGGTTTGGGTATTATAATTATGGAAAGTCGACATTAAACAATAGATCCTCCTTTCTCTCTTTTTTCTCTTAATTAATCTTTAAAATCGACTTTACTTTTAATAATTTTATCATTCAAACAGCAAAGTGCGGCGCCAGAAAGTATGCAATGGTTCAAGTAAAGGATATTTTAAGCTCGCTGATATTAAAGTTAAATTTAATTTTGATTAAAATTCTAGAAAATCATAGCAAAGAGTTTATTTCAAACTTTTTATTATCACCACAGCTGTCGGGTCTGTATATACATAACAATTCCACGTATTACTCATCAAATTTAAATTGCTTTGCAAGTGTTTTTTTATGCTGTGCTACCTGACGCATCGTACATACTATATACATATATGCTTAGATATAAGTACACCAAAGTTCGGTGCTTCGGTCGATTTGAAAGTGCTTCCTGTATGCTTATTAGACGAAAAGTGAAAAGAGCAACCGCCTCACACACAAGTGCAGCTGATGACGCTGCATCTACGAAAATAGCATTCAATTAGGCAAGTGGACGGGTTGAGGCGAAGGAAACAACGGAGGTGGCGGGGGCGAGCACGAGACATAAGAGGAGATGCCACTTTCTAGGCAAGTGCTCTGACCCATATAACCCCGCCTGGGAAACGCTACGAAACACTACGAAATGCAGGCGAATGCACAACAGGCACGAACAAATCAACGGACAAAATAAATGAGAAAAAATCCGACTAAATGAATGAGCGCGGGATGGATGGGATGTGACGTTGGGGGAGGAAGGTGGAGGTGGGGGAACGGGACTCTACCCCTTTCATTTTCATTTTCATTTTCATTTGAGCAAACGAAAAAGGAAACCCAGTGGAAGTCAATGTGCTTGTCATGAGTTCATGTCGAGCAGTTGTTGCCGCTTTAGCCAGAGATGGAGACTCTAGATGGCTATTGTTGAGCCTTTTAGGGGCGAGGAGCAACGACTGCACGTTATGGGGTCCACAACCACATCCACAACGACGTCCACTTCTCCGACTCCATCAAGTCCAAGTCAATTATGCATTTTAGGCACGCATGCGACTACTTGTAGTCCGGGCCCAATCCACTTTAAAAAAATGAGGTGTGTAAGTTATTTTCTTTAATCACTTCCATAGCTTAATACATAATAATTTACACTTTGCTTTCATTTATTTAAAAATGTAGTTGTAGGACCCAAAAAGTTTCTTATTTGAACACAAGCAGTATATTAGAAAAAACCTTATATTTACTCCTTCCATTAAATTGAGTTGTTTAAATACCGGAAGCATCATTATTTTAACTAATATTGACATCCTACTTTAAACAATTGGTTGTAGATTATAACTCTATAGAATAGTATATGTTGTATATTATAGATAATTTTTTGCGTAAAATACATAAAGTACATAAATTAAAAATTTCTGAACTATTGTTGCATAATTTCCACTGGATTATAAGCTTATTTTCCAGCCCTTTTCTTTCAAATTAGCATTTATATTTTCCAAGTGTATGCACATGAACTCAATTAGGGACAGTAGCGGAGTATTCGAGTAATTAATCATTGACAGTACAAGTACGAGTACATGTCTCGGATAACGGTAGAATAGCCCTTTGCAGCGGCAACCGGAGAACGCAGAAAATGTAAGAATATAAAAAAGCTCATTCACATCGAACGGGGTTTACAGGTTATTTGAGAGCACAGACGCTCTCACGCGGTGGGGCGCCCTAACGGTATCGTGTGTAATTGCAGTTGCATGCACAAGCACTTTGAGGTTTATTCGGTCAGGTTTTTAGGATTCTCCCTGCCGCCTCTCCACGATTTGAGGCGTAACATAAGAAATAAAATTCAAAGAGGAAAACACGAAACTTGTTCTTACAACAACACTGACGTCATCGCCTCACTCGCAGCTGAGAAATTAAAATAGGGAGTGGACGTGGAATCATATGCGACTGTGGGGTGGTGTGAGTGAGTGGGAGCAGGAACGGGAGCGGGGGCCATATTAGAGAGGAGATCCAACGCTCTCAGCTGGCCAGCAGTAGTATTGATTGATGAGTGCGAGTGGGAGAGGAAGGAAAATATGAGAGCACCACCTAGCACAGGTTCATAACCACTCCCGATACGATACCCTGCTAATGCCGATAATGCCATAATGCTGCTATCGGAGCACCCACCACCCCCTGGCGTTGGCATTGCGCAGACACACACACACCGCATAGCACACGGGAGCGTTAGTTAGAGAGAGTATCGGTGTCGGCAGATAACTTACCCATGGCGAGATACAGCTACTGCTATGCTCTTCGCACTCGCGCCTGCAAAATGGGGGAGGGAAACACACACAGAGAGGAGCACCACACAGACGATATGACACGCACGAGGAAAGCACAAATACACGCGCACAGGTCACCACTACTTCCTCTTCACTTCACTAACAAAATTTTTCTTCTGCTTAGATTTTTTCTATTTGTATCTTTCGCCGTATGCATTCGCAATCTGCGTAGCGCGATTCTTTCAGTATGAGTGTGAGTGTCAGAGAGTGGTCGGCGGTGTGTGTTCAAAAAAGACGACTTTCCTATCGATTTGGGTGCGTATTTCACTCGTGGAACCGATGAAGCTATCACTTATATTATACTCGTCTGATTTTAATTCTCAATCGGAGCTGCGACCAGAAAAAACACCGCACCACCAGCAACAACGCAACGACACCGACAGCAGCAACGAAAGTATCTGAGAGCAACAACGCAACGACACCGACAGCCAACCGAAAAGTATCTGAGAGATACGGCAATTCGGCCTAGAGATGGGCGCGTGAGATGCACGCGTGAGTCTTCACGACACGGTAATAAAAACACGTGCCGCACTCATCTCTAGCTCGTGCTCATCAAAGAACGAACCAAAAAATAAAGTTCTTATTTTACTTGCATGAAATGTTGGACCAGAAATTATGTATCTGAATATCTGCCCTCAATCTATCCTCTACAATTTAATTTGTTTTTCCAAATCCTTAAGAATTTTTTTCAAAGTAATCTTTAAATAAAATGTAACTAAATCCCATAAGAAAGTCTCGATTAAGTCTTCATTAATACAAATTTTAGTGCAATTTACAAATAAACCAGACGGAAACGTTCGTATCACCGCTGTTTACACGTAAAAACAATTTTAAGAAACTCTATGAATGAGTCCACAAAAAATGTAACTTGAATTCCATTTAAATTTTTACTTAAAACTTTTTATTTAAATAAGTTTTGTTTTTCATGCGTTTTGCGTGTACATTTGCACAATAAGCTTCCTTAGAATGTAGTAATAATAATAATAATTGTAATAACATTACTAACAAAAATAATAATGAGATAAAATTCCATTTATAATACAGTTAGAATAAAATTCATTATGTTATTGGCCCTTTGTTCAACTCTCTAGAACCATAGGATTTCTATATATGTTATATATATATATTTGTATATATAATTAAATATATTATATGTATAGGCATGAATGTATAATGATTCATAATTCCAAAAAGTGTTTTAAAAACTATCAATAAACCCTTCAATGCCGCTGCATCAGAAACTTTCATAACTCACCCACGATAATATAATGTTGCGTGTGTTTGCCACCCAATAAAATTTAATAGTACATCGAGATTTTCAATAATTCAAGCCCACATTTAAGGGATGCTTTCCCTTATGCCTTGCTCAGTTTCTACTTCAAATACAATCACGTATTCAATTAATGGATTGTTTCAAATGTGAGTGTAATTAGATCTACTAGTATAGTGTATAGCTTCAATTTCGTTTACTACATACATATATGCTCTTCCTCTGTCTGTTCTGGTCGACGCAGTGTGAATAAATTTGACTAAAATCAACAAACGTTGAGTTGGGAACGGATATGATATACATACGTCGATCAATGTATTTTCTTACATTGCGGCTCAAGCTTTAGTTTCCTTTGCTCTCAATTTAGTTAGTACTACAACTCTGTCAACTGCTCGCATATATGGTATGCACTTTGTATTCTCTATAGTTTCCATTAGCTAACTGTGGGTGCAAGTGTGTCTGTGTGTGTAGGATCTGCACGTGTCCAATTCAATTCAACATCCGCATCTGCTGCCATCGATCGCCGATAGTAAAAAATAATGGTATTCAAATATATACGCAGACGCAGAGACATTGCATCTATTCCTCATCCGAGTCGCCGTCACTGGAGTAATGTGTTATTTGGGGGCGACGAATGTAGGGCGCCGTTATCACTTGTCTGGAATAAAAAAAAAAAAATAATAATTAATCAGCAAGCTCCTTTTTGGCAATGGCTTAGGTCATATGCTTACGCAATTCGGCGGTAGTGGTTGAGCCACTCCTCCAGCATTTGAGCCACCAGCAGCGGCCGTTTGCTGAGCTTCTGTTGGGCGACGAGTAGACCGCCATCGGTTACACATACGTCCAGCCACTGGCGCATCATGGTCTCTTCGTTGCCCACCTACAGCATGATAAAGTCCTCGTTGACTAACACGCATACTTTCAAATTTATTTTAATTCCTTACCTCAGACTGGGTGAGAAAATGGATAGGCAAGAGTTTGAGCTCACAATCCATAAGCGGCAAATATGTCACGTCCTCCACGTCGTCGCGCCGTCCATCGATCCTTGTGAATGGTTCCATCGGCACTAGGGCGCTGAAGTGACCGCGAGTGTAGCCCAGGGCGATGGGTGACTTGGTGCAAAAGTTTTGATCCCAGAGTAAAGGTAAGTAGACACCTAAAAGACCAACCAATTAACTCAATTGCAAGTTAAAACAAGAAAGAAAGCTAACTTCGGCACTCCGAAGTTTATATACCCTTGGAGATAGAACTTCTATGACTAAGAATCCATACAATATAAATTATATATATTTGTGTTCAAAAAACAATGAAGTAATATCTGCTTTCATTTCATTCACTTATACATATTATATTTGCAGTTTTACATTCACAGATTTGCATTTTTCCTCTACATCAAACGATCGTTTGTATTTCACCTACATATGTATGTCGTCCGATTTGAGACTAATATAAAATGGCTATACATCGAATTTGATGAAAATCTGTTGAAACTTAAAAAGTTATAATTTTTAATTGTATTAATTTCTCGATCGTTCCTATGGGAGCTATATGATATAGTAGTCCGATTTTCATAAAACTTAACATAAAATTGTAGAGTATAATAAAATGGCAATATCTTAAATTTGATCAAATTCTGTCGAAAACTGAAAATGTTATAATTTTTTTTGTAAACATTTTCCGATCATTCCTATAGCAGCTATATATGATATAGTCGTCCGATCCGGCCCGTTCCGACATATATACGAGTGAGAGTATATAGAACACTAACTATAAAGTTTTATTCGGATAGCTTCAAAAATGAGAGAGACTAGTTTGCGTAGAAACGGACAGACGGACAAAAGGACAGACGGACAGAAGGACAGAAGGACAGACGGACATGGCTAGATCGACTCGGCTGTTGATCCTGATCAAGAATATATATACTTTTTATGGTCGGAGGTACCTTCTTCACTGCGTTGCAAATTTCTGACTGAAATTATAATACCCTGCAAGGGTATAAAAAGTTTATAAGAATCACCTTCGAAACGCGCATAACCGATGTCTTCACCGCGAAAACTCTTCACATACTTGACGCCGTACACGATGATTGGACGTCGGAGGATGTGCGCCAGCGCGAAGATGTGAAGCTGTTCCAGGGATGAGCCCGGCTGGCTTGCCAGCGATAAAAGTGTACTCCAGTCATCCTCAAACTGCGAGTCCTCCAGCGTGAAGTGTAGCATCGAGGCCTGCAGCATCTCGTACTCCTTCCAACGTGTAAAAAACCTAAGGACCAACATTAAAGTCTGTGGATACCTCAATTTGTAATAGTACTTACACATGACCACACTGGTGCAGTGTATCTGCGAGTGCTCGCCTCAGGATGTTGTCGCGATCGAAGACACCCCAGGTGGCCTGCATGGCCGAGTCCAGGAGGCAATCGCCAGCGCTTCGGTTCCAAAGGACGAACATCCGAGAGCTAAGCCGAGCCGTGATCTCAAGCGACCAGTTCAGAGCTGGCGGCGGCGTTTCCAGCTGCTTTTGGGCGTCGCGATCGAGCAGCTCGTCGTAGAGCTGCTCCTGAATCGGGATCGGCAGCTCCTCAATCTCGGCGGGTAGGGCGAAGGTGGCGTGCTTTTGCACATAGTGGCAGGGGAGGCCGGATTTGCGCAGGCGCAGGGTGTTGGCAAAATGACGACGGATATCGGCCGCCAAGTCGGGGGCCACGTAGGACGGCACGCGCTTGATACCTGGCCCCGAGCCAGAGATCTGCGCCAGCAGCATGGGCAGCATTTCCTCCCGATGAAATCGAATGGCCAGGTGGATCAGCGTGTGGCCTACGTCGAAGGCCGAGTTGCGATTGAGTGCCGCGATCTCAGTGCTAGTCAGAGAACGCGCCGGATTGCCACCGCAGGAGAGATAGGCCTCCACGGCACTGTAGTTGTTTTCCACGACACCAAGACAGGCGTTCAGCCACTGCCAGTCCACCTGGCGTCGTATTTGACGCTGGCGGCGCTCCTGTCGCTCTTGCAGCGTATCACAGTTGTTGATGGTTTCCGAGGAACCTGAAAATGTGTAATTAATTAAAGGCACAAAGATAATTATGCAGCATGACAGAACTCACCAAGTTGGTAAATGTGCTTCTTATTGAATGAGTTGTTGACACTAACGGTGTCCACGCCTTGCTGCTGTAGTTGTTGCTGCTGCTGTTGTTGGTGCTCCTCTTGAATGTTCAGACTTGAGGAGGCGTGCAAGTCGTTCTGCGATCCACTGACCTCTCGCTCCCTTGTTTTGCCGCACATGGAGCACTTGATGCTCCTCGGCCAGTTTTCGTAGGTGCACGACTGTTAGGAAGATAATCAGTAAAGCTAAAGGAAGTTCGAAAGGTTTTACTAAACCTACGTTACACGCCCATTTGGCCACATAGCAGGGCTTCTGCTGTGGCGTGTCAGTGGCTGAGGATGAGGACTCCCGCTGTTGCGGCGTGTGGTGCTGCTGAAGCTGTAACTGCATTTGCTGAAGCTGTAACTGCATTTGCTGAAGCTGGGCAGGCTGATGGTTCTGAGACTGCGAACGCGACTGGTTGTGGGATGCATTGGCGAGATTGTTTAGATGCGTGGCATCGTCAATGCCCGGACTAAGGTTCAGCCGATTCGAGGCTGTGGCCCCGATTAGCTGGACTGGCTTATTAGCCATATTCTCTGTGGCGCACCCCCCAAGTTCCGTGTCTGTTCCACTGATGCGGAGCGCCTGCAACGCCTCGCCAGCCCGGTCAGCATCCGCTTCGTTATTCTTGTCATTGCCGCGCTCGATGGCATCACCGCCACGCTTCGTACAGCACTGGACGCATCGCAGACTGCGCGGCCAGTTGAGATAGGTGCATACCTTGCAGGGCCACTTTTCGCTGTCCGCCACGTTGCTCTGTCTCGCCTGATTCTGCTGCGGCTGGAGCGAGTAGCACGTCGACGTGGGTGTAGGCTCAACAGCAGCTGCTTCCTCCGCAACCGCACTACTCTCCTGGGCGGCGGGACTCAGCCTGCAAGAAACGAAAATAGTCGGTATGGGTATGGGTAAACGTTTTCATTTATGATTAGGATAGGATTGCCTCACCGGAAGATATCTTCGTTGAGCAACGGCTTTGACGCTTGGCACATGGTGCATTTCAAAGAGGATGGATAGTTCTCGTAGGTGCAAATTTCACATTTCCATTTCTGCGCATCGTCTTTGGTATCGCACATCGTTTTGTGCGCGGAGCCAGCCACAATGATGTAGTTGCTCTGTCAATGAATGATTGTTTATTAAGTAAAGAGTACAGTTCTTTGGTTTTCAGTTCCTAGAGCAAGACTCTATTCTATTTTTCAATGATTTCTTTGGGAACCTTCACTATTTTGTCAATAAATAAATCAAACAATCTTAAGACAAGCTAAATTGTCTTACAATCTATAAAAGAATTTTTTTTTAAAGCTATCCGCTTTCAGAGTTGATTATTACGCTGCAGGATAATAGTTACGCTTTTGAAGGAGTTTGTAGGACGATTTCACTCCGCTAAAACTGTCATCTAGGAATAAGGGTATTGAAATCCTCTGCCTTGCGTGTCGCGAATGGAAATTCTTGTTAATAAGGTCAAACAACGGGGTAGCAAGCAGTGTCCTTGACCCTGAGACATAATTCGCAGATACAGCCACAGATACATCTGCAATTGGCTCAACTTGCCATGGTGTCGTCACAGTCAGCCTTCGGGGTCTTGGTCCCCCTCTCTGTCTCTATCTCTGCCTCTGCCTCAGTCTCTGTTCCTGGGATTGGGGCACATAGACACTGGTATTGGTACTACTACGGGGTCGCTCGCAATTGTTTTGTTGCCATTATTCGCTCGTGGGTATTTATGCATGTGTGTGATGCACCTAGGCATTTAGTGTATGTATGTATGCGAGGGGTGCAGTGCAAGGGGGTTTTCGCGCTAGTTTCTTATTGGGACTTGTCCTCTTCCGCCGTACCCAACAACCCACCCCGCTACCCACAACTCGTCCCGTCCATCCACAGTACCTGGCGCAGAAGTTCACAAGGCCTTTTGCAGCAGTCCCAGAAAACGCGACTGCGATTCGATTCGATTTAAATATATAACACTGTCACACAGCCAGCAAAATCACAATAGGGCCAAGAAATCGGCCAGCGATTGCTATATAGCTAAATCTTTCTTGCTATTATCACTGTCAGCCACCCGCGCCCGCAGCAGCGTCAATATAGCCGTCGATCCAATATTGCCAGTAATGCGGGCTGGCAGGCAAGTGCAGGAAAATTACAATTACAAAACAAAGACGGGAAAACTTTCACTTGATTCGATTTTGGGATTATTCCTTTTCTTATTTTCCTGCTATACTTGTAGCTCTGTTGTTTGTAGGTTTGTAGTCCAGCGACACAAACACGCACGCGGATGCAAGGAATTTGGAATTTGGATTATTTGGAAATAGCTAATTATTTATTTTTTACATTATTATCATCTGGTTCAGTCCGCCTATCGAGAGTGGCCAGTGTTGGAAAATGTGTTCGCGACAGAGCTGCCGGATAGTCTGACAACGTCGACGCTTCGCAGTTCACATTTTTCAAAGGTACTTTTACTAAATTTCCGGATAATTTTTGGTGTAAGTGTACCCTTGGGAAGGTAAAAATTAAAAACCAATACTCGATCTCTATTTGAAAAGTATCTTGTTGGTCTGAAAAACTATCTGAACGAATGCGATAATTTCCACACTAGAGTATCGATAACCACTATCGGGTCAGGACAATCGATTGTGTTATCGACCCGCTCAACTGTACAGTGTCCACGAAATGCACCTAATATAAAATAGAACTTTAAATTCAATTAAAATGGTTAAAACAAGGGCGGCGCAGCGCGTTTTACCCGAAACATCAATCCGAACAAAAAGGTCTGCAAATTCCGCTTGGAAAGATGACGGTGGAGCTATTTCGTCGGCCCCAAAGCCGCCGAGTCGGATTCGGAATTGCGTAGTTAAAATAAAGCGCTTAAAAATTGGAGAATGTCGGATATCTGGGGAACTTTATCATAATAACAGCGTCTTTGAGCCTGCTCGCAACTCCACGATGTACGCTCCGAAAAAGAGGCCTGCAAAACCGAAACATCCACCCGCCAATGCAAAGGTGTTGTCGGGTAAGTCGAAATATTCAGCTGCAGATAAAGACGTTGCTGTAAAAATAGTGTTAATTGCAGGACCAAAGGAAATATCAACACGCTTGAAGAAAGTAAGCCCTTCCAAACCAGTTCCAGAGTATTCTACGACGAAAAAGGCTCGCTTCTTTCACAGAGACCAACCGCCAACGAGATCCAGGTCCTCAGTGACCCGCAATGTTTACGATTTTCTCTCGCAATCCCAGATAGAAGATGACAATACCAGGGAGGATCCAGCCGCCGACATAATCCAGCGCTTGGTGGAGAACGGCAAGGCCTGCGTGATGATTCCCTTAAAAGCGGGCGGGAAACTAAGAGCCAAGATTAAGAAAAGGCGGCCAGTGGGCAGGCGGAAACAATGCTCTCTGGAAAATCTGGCTGGAGAAACGGCCAAAACTGAAGCCAAGAAATCTGGGCCTTTGAGGCAGCGAGAAGTTGCACGCGCCCTATCACCAATTTATGAACCCGAGGATGATTCAAGTAACGATGCGGAGGAAGCCTACAACGAGCCCATTCAAGTGCCTGTCCAGGTGCATGCGCCGCCGGATCCCGCGGTCCAGAGTAATGCTTCTAAGCAGATCAGTGATGGCGCCTACAGCCATTTAGCCCGTTCCGTGCTGTTAAATCAAACCAAGGCGCATGATGAGCAGCAAGCTTCAAGCAGGCGTCGCGATTTGCTGAACATGGCTCGACAGTTGGTAAGCACTCCGCTGAATCGCAAAGCTGTCACGGTACCCGAACCCAATTCAACGACCCATAACATATCCCCGATTCCCCGCCATCCGCCCAATTCAGCAGCGAGTCCGGGGGGAGGTGCTTCTCCTTGGCGCGTTTCCGACCAGTCAGCAATGCCAAATACTTTTACGTTTGGCTTTAATACCTCTAATCTGCCATCGTACTCAAGTGACCATACGACGCGACCGCGTCACGTCTATGTGCCGGATACACAGGGACAGGAAGAAGCGGCACCAGTGAACGAGAAGGAGAGCTTCTGCAATACTTTGCACGACCCTAGCCCCAGTGTGAACGACTCCAATGAAGAGAATCGGCCGCCGCCCACGCCCAGCAGAACACTTCTAGCTAATGAGCTGGAGAACGCAGAGAATGCAAATGATGCTGATAACTTTGTCCACTTGCCGAACCCTCGGAAAACTCTGACGAAGCGCAGGCCCTTTCAAGACATCAACATTTTGGATGTGGTGGTGCTGCCGTCGTGGAAAAAGAATGTTCAAGTCACTCCTTCAAAAGATACCACTTCACCCAAGGTAGATACTGCAACGCCAACACGACAACGCAGTCAGACGCGAGCGAACCTCTTTGGCTATGACGAGATTTTGCCATGTGAAGATCAACCAACGAACGCCACTGACCAGCGTGCCTCAAGCTCTCGTAATCTCTTTGGCTTTGAGGACTTTCTTCCTGAGAACGAAGTAGTGACATCCGCCGCCCGCTCCTCAACCTTGAGTCAAAACGAAACTTTGCATGATAAGCTTCACCGACTGGGAGGACTGCGGCCAATGGACATTGAGCTGGCACACGCATCCTCCAATTCGCTACGTCAGGATTGCTTTGGGGAAGTGCCATTGTGTCAGCGCGATATCAGACAAGTAATGTGCTCCACGATGATTGCGCCCAAAAATCCACCGAGAAGAAAACCTGCACTGGCTGCAGACGAAACAATCGGATTGTTTAGGGATGAGGCAGAACTAGAGACAACATTTGACAATAAGGTAAAGCTCTTTTTTTTCTTTGTTAAGCGCCGTGAAGATGTCGACACTACGCAGTCTCAAGAGTGTCGTCATTGACTAATCAGCGCCAGATTAATACAAATTGAGACCCGTTAATAGTCCCAATTGAGCCAACAGGGCCGCAAAGATCCAAGCCTATCTTTGTTTGGTAGTAAGCCGCTCGTACAAAATTAGATAAGAAGAGATATGTGCGCATGTATCTCCACAACTATTGTTTCGCCAAATTGAATTTTCACAAAATTTATTATTGTTTATATTAAAACAAATTGTATTGAAGAATATAAATTAATTGTATTAATTTGCGACAAATCGCTATTTTCAGAAGCCAAGGCGAACGTATGTTAAGGAGCGACCGAAGCGTAAGCGAAAGCAGCGAGTGCACGTTTTGTACATAGACACGGATTCGTCTGAGGACGAGAATGAGCAGGACCTGCTGGATAACAGCGTCGACTCTCCGCAGAAGAAACAGCAATTGAAACGACCACGCAAGGATGTCGAGCATGAGGCTAAATTGCAGGAATTCATTACCAGTTTCAACAGGGAGTGCGAAGAAGTTGAGAAATTTTCTCTAATAATTGAATAATCGCATCACCACCCATGTTTTTTTTATTATTATTATTGTTTTTATTTGATCTGTAACTATTTAACTAAAAGAAAAACTCGAATAAGCTTGTCCGATGTACCTTATTCATTAGGATAGAAATGTAAGATTATATTGTGTTTCCACGAAATGGCATATGTAGTAACCATTAGTCTAAACTGTATTACGGTTCTAAATAATAGTAATAAAAGTTAGTAAGTGTCTACCAGAGCACTTTATTTAAACAAAACAATGCAGTTTCATTTGCCAGACCGCTGCGATTAAGACTAATCGGAGAATTTAATATAAGTTAACATTACTCTGCGAATCTTAAAAGTTTAAAAACTTGCAAAAGATTATTATCCAAGCAAAATTAGATTAGTGGCCAGAATTAAAATATATATTATATTTTTTAGGAAGTGTATATTCTGGTACAGCAGAGCCGTCGAGTAGATTTACCCAAGTCCATCTGTGCGTTTATGGAAACTAAGTTATGAAGCTATTTGAATAATAATTTTCTAGTAGTTGCAAATTAAATACCTTTGCAGGGTACTCTAATTTTAGTCAGTAGTTTGCAAAACAGTGAAGGTGTCATTTCCGAGCCTATAAATCATATATTTATATTCTTGATCAGCATCAACAGCCGCGTCGATCTAGCCATCTCCGGCAGAATTTTAAATTTTAACATCGTTAAAACTGAAAAAAAAATTAAATTTTTTTAAATATTAAAATTAGTTTTAGATATTCAAACCTAATAAAAACTAACATTAGAAAGCTTTTCGAATTGAAATTACTGTATTTTTAGCATCCTTATGATTTTCATAATCAAACTGCAAGGGTATACAAACTTCATCTACCCGAATGTAAGCATTTGTTCCTTGTTTTTATTTTTTTTATATATACATATGTAAGTCGGAATAGGAAATACCGGAGTACTACATTACATAGCTGCCATAGATCGCAAAATTCAAGAAATTATTTTAATTTATTCTTTCATCATAAAAAATTAAAATTTGTATAATTTAACCATTTTGTTCGATTTGGAATGGCAAAATGCAAGAGTGTAAAAGCCACAGGTTACCGACGTTAGCTTTTTTTCTCCATAATAAAACCAAGAAAATACTACTCCGTTGTATATTATACATAATTTCCATAGGGACTTATAATTTATTGTTTATTTCAAGTTTCTATTGAATTGATATCGATAAATATACATGTGCATAAGTCATACTTCAAAAAAACATAGGCTTCCTAATACCTAATTGGCTGTTTTCATGGTTACATTTCTGGAAACTTCATGTTTTTACTCCAGTCCAGCAAGACCAAACCAGACCAGATGTTATCAGTTATCAATTGTGACCGATGCCAATCGCTTCTAATGATGCAACGTAAATTTTCGAAAATATATTAATTTAAAACAAATTATAATTCAGAAATGGGAATGGTGTGATTAAATATGACAAGTCAAATAAGATAAAGAAAACCTAAACACGACGAATTCAAAACTTTTAAACATGGGAAAGTGTGTTTCATTTGCTTAAACAAATCCAAAATTTTTGGATTTAATGGCCATCAGCATTTTACTGCGTAAAATTGATTTGCTGGAGTACAAGGGGATATACAGCCGAGATATACACGTATTCGCTGTCGGTAAATGAGAATCATCTGCGGGTCTTATGGTCACCGATGGCAAGGGTTGGAATCCCTCTTCCGATGCCGGCAGAGCAGGCGAGCCAGTCCAAAAGTACACCTAGACAGAAAAGACATTATCAAACTCGTTCCGATTATTTACATTTGTTTGCTCTTACCAAATCTTGACGCTCCAAGATATTCATTTTTTCAACAATACTCCAGAACCATTTTTTAAATTTCAACAGTTTATCGGGACCCTCGCTAGATTCATCGTTAAAGGTTGTGTAAGAAATCAATGTTGAAACATTTATGTCACCGACACCATTCAGCAGCAGCCGCAAATCCTCAGCTGTTAGGCTGTTCATACTGGTGTCGGGCAGAACATCAAAGACGCCTTCTTTTAGTGCCTGCAATGAAAACATTTATTACTATGACATACATTCATACTAGGCATGTTTTATATGATACAGCGGCATAAATACCGCACAAAATATTATATAGAGAATCGCATTTAACGTTAAAATATAAATATTAGCGTATATGTCAATATTTCCTGCTATCTTAAGAACATACCTCAAGAGCTTTTTCCTGTGACTTGATCAATCTATACTCCGTATAGCGTCTTATGTACTCAAATATGTTATTCGCAGTCACTGCAACATCGCGACCTCCCGGAATTAGCTCCCTGTTGCCACAGCCCTCCTCTTTCATCAAATCAATTCTAGATAAAATTAAATTATTTTTAATTGATAAACATGTAACATTTAACAAGCAAGAGTACTTACACAAAACATAACTCCATTCGACTAATGGTTTCTTCGCCGTCTTTTGCTAGGGCTGTTTGAATAATTTGCCTAAAAGATTCGTATAGTGTTGGATCGAAAAATGCCAGATCATGGAACTTAATTTTACGTCCAAGGATATATTTTAATACATGTCTCTGCAGAAACAGCGGAAGCAATTCATTTTGCAACAGACAAAGTCCAATGAGTCTATGTGGGAGGAAGAGAAAAAAATCCATAAATACACGAAAAAATATCACGTATACAAGTCAATCCACCTTCCGATATTTCTAAATGCATTTATGCGCTCGAACGATGCAAAGCCTTGTCGTGGCGTATAGAAGCCCCGTTTGCCCGGAGAATAGAACAATGGCTCATTATCGTCATCGGCAGGCTCCACCAACACAACAGATGGGGATTTTTTTGGCTGACTACTTTGTGTACTGGCGTCACTTTTTTGTTTGAAGGTTAGAACTTCGATCGCCTCATTTACTTTTTGACGCAACGTCTCATCTGACGAGACCACAGAAAGAAGTTGTGGCGTTGGTATCTCTAGTAGCATTCCTGTTATTTTCGCCGCGTGCGTTTGGTTTATCGAATGGATCTATTGGCAAGTAATTTAATGTTAATAAATGAATTTATTAAGTGCATCACCACCTACCTTAGGATACAAGCGTTCTCCAAGCTGTTGCAGATGGACCGACAAATGATCGTTCATGCCTTCCGGTATAGCATTATCTAGGCAAAAAAACATGAATGTTTGTTTAGTAAAAATACCAAGCCAAACAAGCGAAAACTACTCTTCGTTTTTGCTTTATCAGATTGATAAAGAAAATCCGAAACCAAATTTACTTTGACGGCAGTCGCTATTCATACCTGTAGCATTCATTGGCGTATATGGCCGTGCGTCCAAATTTAGGACCTTCCTTTCACGGGCCGATCTCCATAATATTTTGCTGCTGGTGCCACGCCTCTGTGGAGTTAACTGATCACGACTAGATCCCGACACTGTTCTACTACGCAGGATGCTCGAGAAGGGCACTCCGTACTTGGTGTGGCTGTTGCCCACCTGTACTGACTCAAGGTTGGGGATTTTCGCATTGGCCAGAAGGGCCTCGGCAATCGATGTGTAGAAGCTGCGCGCCACACCAGATCCCTCTCCTGGCTCGTCCTTAAACGTCACCTTAACACGGTTAAACGTGATGGGCGGCTGTGAGCGTCGGTTTTGGCTGCCAAACTGAGTATTTAGTTCCTTGAAAGTTTGAACAATCAAGCTCTCGCGGTTTCTCTCTAGTTTGCATAGCACCAAGTCACGCTGTTGGCCGTTGCGAAGCTTTTCCATGTGACGGCGGAAACGCATTTCCTTGACGGGGAAACCTCGCAATTCCGGCAGAACGGATCCGTGCTCCATGCCCACATCGTCCATGAAGACGCGTCCAAATAAATCTAATGCTAGTTTCCAACGACTTAGCAAAAAGTTCCACGAAGGCAATTCCGAAAAGCTACTTTGGTAAAACAGAGAGCCGCGGCCTGGAAAACAGAGCAGGTGATGCGACGGCGCAGACTTCTGATGATGTGTATCACATTTGGCTTGTTCAGCAGATAAATTCGCAGCGGATGGCGACACGTTCATGTCCGAGTCGACCGATTTCAGACACGACCCGCCTGCCAGAACTATAACACTACGAGCTGCAGCATTCGCTGAAGTCACTGAGGAGCAGGTGGTGGTCTTATTTGGAGCAATGATAACTTCAGGCCGAGTCGCCATTAAGGCTTCTGTCGATTTGCTTGTACTTGGAATATCATCGGTTTCCATTGAAACAACTTTATCGAACTTACCGTGATTACCTGCAATACAAATCATATTTTTAAAATTATTTTTTGCTTAATAACAATTACTCACCATCGTTTTCTTTGTGGGACTTGAAATCATCTGGACCCTGTTTCTTCTTTAACTGTACGTAGATATTAGAGTCAGCAGAAGAGCCCTCAGCCTTATATGTTGCATTTCCATCACCCAGTGTCTTGCTAGACTCAACATTGATTGTTACATCCATGGGCTGCTGTTGGTTTTTAGCCAGAACTGTTTCATAAACATGCTCGTCATTCCTTTTTAAGGAATTGGAAAATCCCAGCCTTGTGGGCGGGTAGTCAATAGTGCTGTCGCTACCACTTGTGTTGGGGGTGTTACCACTTGTGGTTACCAGGAGCGGCAGGTTAGAAAATAGCTCCTGACGCTTCGAGTTTGGCTGCAGTAAATGAGGTTTGTCGGCCAGTGGCATGGCCATATCCAGCGGAAGATCGAACCCTTCCGGCGCCGAGCATCCGAGGCTCAATGTAGATTCCGATCGTGCAAAGAAAGTGTGACGGCGGGTACCGGTGCTGCCGGATGTTAGGTTGCTGCTAGTCGACGGATTAGCCTCAGTACTGTAGTCTTCCAGATTGGTTAGTTCATCATCAGTATCATAGCTCTCCACCATTGGCGATGATAAATTGTTTACGCGTCCGGATATGGTCTCCTGCTTGTCATAGAAGCCCGTGTCGTTGCGCATATAGTAAACAAAGGCGTCAAGTACGTATGCAATATGACGCAGGGCAGTTATATCGAGTACTGGCAGGGCATCTCTGTGCTCAGACGTATGGGATCGCATCAGTGATAGGCAGTAGGTAAAAAGTCGCGACGTGAATTCGATCCTAGATCAGATATACATGCGATATAATTAAAAAATCTTAGATCACGGTACGCTATACACTTACCCATCATGTTAACACCAACGGATGTTGAGGTGGCCGGAGCCGGTGGCTGACTACTTGAAGCCTGAGCACTCAGGTTAAGCGGATGCAGTGGGTGGTTCGGATCGGTGTAGTTAGTCAAGTAAGCTCCAAACTTTAGCTGAGCCTCGGTTCCATCCATTACCGTAAACATCCAGTCCCAAGTGGACTTTAAACGCTTTTCAACGAATGCCTTTTAAATATACATATTTGAGAATTAGTGTTCAATTAAAAAGACAATTCAATTAAATACATTTTTTATATGTAGTATTCTTCAAGTTTCAATTTCAATTGCATTGTTCGATATTTTCGAAATGATATTAATAACGATATTTGCGTAAATATAATAAACTCTTTCTTTTGATACAAATTTCTAACAAGAAAAAATCTAAACCGATAAAACTTACTTGGACTGCGATCGCCTCATCGGTTTGAATCTTGAGTGAAGTTTCAATGTCGTTGACAATGTTGTATGATAGAATACTTATAAGCTCCGAGATCTGTCTGATAGTGATCCCAAATGCCCTGGCCAAGTTGCTAGCCGTTGTCGCCATTGTGTGGGGCTCAATAGAGGGAGTGGTGACCGTTGTGTTGGCCGGCACAGCGGAGCGTCGTAGCGCCATTGGGTCAATGAAAACCATATTGGATCCAGTGGGCACCCGTACAGATGAGCGAGCAGTGTCTCGGTTCCTTATTGCCCACTGCATCGTCTGCGGCGCTAGGTCACTGCGAGCATTCGAATTTGTGCTGCGGCGCTCAAGTTGCTGGTCATTGAAATTGAATTCGTCAGAGTGATCGTCGGATTCGCCATCCTCCGAACCATCTTCCTCTTGAGCAGACGAATCTCCAGATTCATCCTCAAGAAACAGGACACCAATATCTTGCAAATAAAAATAAAACGAATTAGACTTCGGTGTCAAATCCCCTAATAGAGGCAATAACTTACCAGTTTCCGAACCAACTGTAGCTCCAGTTTGAACGCTTCTCTGTGCCTCCTGATTGCTTTGATTGTCATCGGAGTCCGACTCGGTCTCAGCATCATTAAAAGTAAAGTCATTGTCGCTCTCATCGTCTTGCATGCCGTCCTCGTTTCGTTGATTTTCTATCAATTCATCGTCCTGGCTGTGGGAATTGGTTTCCCGATTTATAACTTCTTCCGATTCGGAGGCGTCTCGTATAGCTAAATATTAAAATATGAGTTTTATTTTATGCATTTAAGGCACTCCTCTGTTATCTGCAAAGTGAACTCACTTTCCATTGCAACTACGTCGTAGTTTTGTTGAATATTAAAACTGGAACTTTGATCGTTGCCCCCATCGTGCCCTAGTATCTGCTCAGACGTAGACTCCACGTTGGAAGGTGCCAAAGGATCCACGCTGAACAAGTCGTCAGAATTCTAGGGAAAACAAGTTACAATTAAATTAATTTACAACTTATTTCCAATATCAGACAGGTGGTTAAGATTGAATTTACACGTACATCCAGGTTCGACGATGACATCGTAAACGGAGCTGTGGGACGTACAACGCCAAGGCGAACTGGTGCAATCAGGGCTTCGGAGACCTCGACCAGTTCCTCAATTGAAATCTTATGCAGAGTCTGAAATACCTTCACGCAGCTCTGAACGTATTTGTTGCACGACGCATGTGTCTTGCGCTTCTCTGGATTCGGCTGCTTCTCGAGATTAAAGATGACAAAAACGCGAGATACTGAGCGCACAAAGCGCCGAGCCACTTCCTCGGCCTCTTTGCAGCGATTGGCCACGCTTGCGTTCTGCAGTTCCCGGACAAGTGTGAGCAGCAACGTGTCCAGATGGTCGCCAGTGCACTTCACAATGAGGCTGTGTGTGAACTTATCGAGAAGCGTCGATCCGTGCTGAGTCTGGATGAACATGTTGAAGCCATCAGAGTTGGAACTGTCTGAGGGAGCGTTAGCTCCTGAATTCTGGACATTAACCTCGGCCTTTTCAGCTCCGCTCATGATCATAGCGCGCACCGCATTCCAGTCGATCAGCAGACGTTCAAGGGCTTTTCTGGCGAACTTCGGCGGCTCCAGATCATGATCCGGCATGTCACTCTCCATTTCTGCTGAAGATGTCTTCCGATTGGATATAACCGTGTTGCTGCCATTCGCCCCGCTGGCTGCGTTACCAACATTTCGCACTCGAACGTTGAAGCGATACTGACGCTGCTCCACGATTTGTCGACCCACAGTTTGGATGAGAAATAGCAGAATTGACTCGCCCTTGGAGTTGAATTTCGTGACCAAATCTGTACAGGAAACCAGTTTGCAGAGCAATGCGAACCGCTTGGTTAGATTGCCAGCGATGAGGGCCTTGCACTTGCACTTCTCCCAACAATCGCAGTAGGCAGTCGGAGCCGTCCGCTTCAGCTTGCAGTCGTGACCCTTGTGGCAGACTCGGGCGCATTCGGTACAGCAGCACAGGGATCCTGTGAGTCCACACGTCTTGCACTCGAAAATGTTCTGGTTGATATGGTCGGCCCCCGTCCAAGTGAACGAGCAAGTATCGTTGTAGCATATAACATGCAGGGGTGACTGGTCCGCCGGTGAACCGCTGGGGAAGATCATGGCCTCCTTGAGCTGGGGATCCTGCTCGGAAAGCATGAGAATGGTGTTTAGCAGTATAATTCCGGCCTCATAGGCGCGGCACGAAACGGAGAGCATGAACGGTGTCTGCCCTTGAGCATCCTTGGTGCTAAGCATTTGGCAAAGATATGGACGCAATGCTGGACTGACGCACATCTGTTGCAGAATCAGTAGAGCGTGCTCTCGACGTTGAGCCAAGTCAAAGGTGTAGTTGGGAGATCCCAATTTTATGTTAGAGATCATGGAACTCTGGGAGGAGGACGGAATTATCTTCGAGATGTCGTCTTCGATACTATCTGTATTGTTCTGTGATGAACTGGCGCTCAGATTGCTGGCCGCCGGTGTGTCATGTGGCCAGGGTATGTAGGCGTGGTCCTCATTGGCGCTGGCCATGGGCTGGCTACTGCCAGACTGCTCTGCCTGATCGGTGTTAATAAGACGGTGCATCATATCACGTAAATTAATCCGACTATCTCGACTTGCCGATGGTGCAGAGGATCCAGCGGCAGATGAGCTCATTGTGGCGAAACTCGAATTATCGCTGGTAGAGGCTGCGTTAGCCCCGAAAGCGTTGCTGCTAACATACGCGCTTGTCGACACCGTTGGGATGGAACGAGCAACGGAGAGTCCGACGGAGAGTGACTTCTTGTCGGCAGCACCACCGCTGGGTGAATCTGGTGGCGAGTCTTTGTTTGAAGATGGCGCACACATAATCACGCAAGCATGGAATATGTTGCGGGCACCATCACAGCGTTCCTCCACGACCAGGACTGTGTCCGCTTGATCCTCTCTCTCCAGGCGGCTAAGGGCTGCAAAACTGTTCTTCACATCGCAACGCAGTATGTGCGGCATTAGCTTCTGGGTATCAAACAGCAGGGCAGTCATGCAGACCTTGGATTTCAGGTTCACGCCAGAGAGCATCGCCGGCAACGAGATGGTGGCCATGGTGATAGACTTCACCGGCGGCAAATCGAACCACTGGGGATCCTTAATCGAACCGAGGCAGTCCTTGGCTAGGGGATACAGTGCTCCATTGCCATCGCGGAGCACTATCGTGCTGCTGTTTCCGCTGCAGTCATTGTTGCAGGCCATTAGAATGTTGCCGGGTGAGGAGCCAATAAATGAAGCGCTGTCCGTAGGAAACAGGCAGTTCTGCTCCTGTTTGCTATTGTACAGGTTATACAAGCTGTAGTGGATCTTACCGAGGACCTTCTTGACCACGTGTATGCCGCGGGAGTCGACGGCCAGGGTCAGGAGCTGGACGCCAGACGCATCGGCTCCGACATTAATTTTTTTGGGTTGCTTTTGGAGCCAGTCGGGGCCACGAGTCGACATTGCAGTTCGAAAGACCTGGACGTCCTCGCGTCGCAGTAGGCGGCACTGTTGCCAGTCGTCCTCCTTGCCCTCTTCCTTGGATGTTGAGGGTGCATTTGAGGAAGAAGAGGAGCTGGCGGCGGAGGCTGCAGCAGCAGCGGCTGCTGCATTCATAGCTGGGAACCGTACGGCCACAAAATCGCCGTCGACCTTGAGCACCTTGCCCACGGGACCCACTTTGTCCTCAACAAAAACCACGGCCTTGAGGGCCACAGCTCTTCGTCCTTCCTATTCTCCTGTGGGACGTTGGAGTCCTCTTTCGTGGTCACTCGTTTGGTGCGCTTGTGCGATGTGACACTGCCAGTGTCGCTGCAGGTGCTGGATGCCGGTGACGGGGGTGGGGGCATGTCGATGCGATCTGTCGATTCTTTGCTGTTTGAGAACGACTGTCCGTTTTTGCTGGTGCTTGCAGTAGTGGGCAAGGTTGTGGTCTTCGGCAGATCCTTATCTGGTGCGATTCCATGGGCATTTACATTGATTCCGGATGCAGCCTGCGACTTTTCCACGCCCGAACTTGTGTTTATATTTATGATCTTCATGCGACACACATCAGTGAAGTTCCAAACCGAATTTAAAAGCTGCCCGACCTTTGGCACTCCATTGGAACAAGTAAATCCGATTGATCCAGATTGATAGATGGACATTTCTTCATTATCACTTGAGCGCCCACATTAATGTCAGTGGCGACTGCCTTAAAGGGCTTCTTCGTCTTAGTCCGGAACTTGTCCCACAAATAACGGCGCTGATCAAAAGGCAAAACGCCCCACCAGTAGATATTGTTACTGTCTGTGCGAACAACTGTGTACAAGGAACAGACGTGAATCTTGGTGATAGGATCCGAAATGAATTCATTGAAAGTGCAGGATGTGTGCTCAAGCTTTGCACCAAGGTATCCCAGCTGTTCGTCCATCCATGTAGCCACGCGATTTGTTTCTGTGACTACAGAGCATCTGATAAAGTTGGCCGAAATGAGTTCAACTCGTTCAGCGATGTTTAGAGCCGCAGTTTTCGGATGATACACATTTTCCCCCTGCAAATAATTTGTAAATTTTTAATAAAAATTCTAACAAAATATATGAACTAAATACTAATGAAAATTCCAACCATTAGTGGCGATTTAAAAGAAACTAGTGCTATCACTTACCTCCGACTTGTACGGCTCTGGGTCTGACCAACGCCATTGGTACAAATCTCCGCCCTCTGACAATGCAATAAACTCCGAGTATAGAGCGCCAATGGTTTTAAAGCGAACTGAACTCTTCTCCGGCCACGGCTGCAGCTCTTCTGATATCCAAATAGGAGACAGCATGGGAGAAGGCTCCTTTTTCTTGGAATCTAATTTGTAGGGTATTATAATAAGTTAATAGGTGTATTTGTGCTGAATGTAAGCAGTATGATAAAATTACCAGCATCTTTATCCCAAGTATAATCGTCTTTATTAATCCAACGTCGCGGTCCGTAGTACTGGCGATCCCGCCAACGGCTAAAGGCCTCTCGGTCGGCATTAACCGATATTTGAGCCGACAGACCAGTACTTCCACTTAAAGCAGCGCCCGATGTTGCTGAGCGGTTCGATTGATTACTGTCAGCGGCATTAGCGGTCGAATTACTGCGCTCGCTGCGGATACGGTCGAACAGCAAGCTGGAATGGTACATTTTTCATTAATTTAAACGTTATTCTTCGGGATTTTAAGTAAACAATTATTGTCTCGAATATACATAAAAAATATATGTACATTGAATTCGTCAATAATAAATAAAAACTTACTTGCGAATGCTCGAATAGTTGGTAAATATCTCTTCCGAAAAGAGGCCGTCTGAGGGATCTATGATGACGCTGTTGTTATCACCGCTAAAGCCGTTATCCAACAGTGAGATAAGGTCTTCAGGCACGTAATTGTCTGCACCTTCTTCGGTATCTTCGGCTTCCTCGTCGTCGCGAGAAAGCAAATTATTCACAGCTAGGTTTACATCTAAGTTGGTACGCTGTAAAACGAACAAAGTACTTGCCATTGTAGGCTTAAAAGCTCATCTCAAAATGAATCTGTGACAACGTACCTGCAATTCTCGAATAATGAGATTTCTACTCTTGCCCTGTAAAACCACTTCCGCTTGGGATATAAGTTCTTCCGGCACATACGTGGCGGGTACTGTGACCAAGGGTCGGGTCGAAGTGTTACCCCCTATAATCACGCCCGTGCTCCGAGATCCGGAACCCTGACCAGTGGAGCTGGACCGACCTGTTGCGCGAAGGAGCCGGGCTCTGGACCTGGCCATCGGTCGGGATGAAGAGGGCGCCTTTGACGCACTGGTCGCTCCGGCACCTCCGCTTGTGGAGCTGAAAAGAGTGTAGTGTTATGTGATAGGCTGTAGCCAGAAGTTAATTTGTTGGCTTACCATTTTGCGTCTGATTTTGTCAAGTCGAGTTTCTCCGAATTGATGGAGAAGGACACGCGGAAAGCTTTGCCATCCTCCAGTAAAACACCAATGTGTGTAGGTCCAATGACCACTTCGCGTACAGGAATTTTTAGCTGCTCGAATATGCGATGAGTGCCATATCCAAATCTGTTGACTTTTTCAGAGACCTCCCGAATCCTAAAAAAAAAAAAGATTACAACAATTGCTTTGGCTTAATCAAGTTTAAGCAAGAATCTTAAAAATCAGATGCTCGGAAGGACATGGTGAAATTCCATTCTTTATGAGGTTCATTTTTGCTTTGGGAAACAACATAACCCTGAAATTTTACATTATTCCATTAGCCAAACAAGTATGAACATGTTTGTCGTTTGCGGAAAACGCCTTACATTTCAGTACCATGTGCTGAGAGACTGAATTTCAGCTGAAATGCGAATTACAAACAGACATGACCAAATTATGCTGGTTAGAGAGACTTTAGCCGGATCATTGGTCACTAAGTAGAATGCATCACCCACTGCACATCCCAAAATTGTTTTCCTAAAACATACCTGAATACTTCTCTTAGAATAGTTAAAAACTGGCAAATTAATCAGCATGTATGCACATGCACACACGCATACATACTCGGGTGAACACGCTCACATGTCGCACACATGCACATCTATACGGATGTTTGAAAAATAAGTTGTGGCATTAAAGTGGATATTGCAAAAGCACTAAAGCAAATACAGTTGGTAAATGTTTACAGTATTGCTGGGATACAATTACATAGGCTCATCTGCCAGTGTCTATGCTCGAATTCCGCGCTAATAACCATGTACATATCTTCCTGCCAACACATACATATACATGGCCCTTGTACGTACATATTTTCACATAAGAAATACATGCAGCCAGCCGTACGAACACTTCTACATACATGGAATCCCGCATTCACATGTGTGTAAGACCGGAGCCCCAAACTTTATATTTACCTTTCAATGAACTGATCGTCCGATCCCGGAAGTGGTTGCAACACGAATTGCATGGAAACCATTTTAGTTTTTCAATTATTCATGTACAACGTTTCTGCTCACTTTTCATGCAACAAAAAATATTTATCTCGTGGTTGGTGTGACCGTCTAGAATAGAGCTGCCTAGAGCTGGGAAGAAAACGATTTCAATATCACCCCTATCGGTTCCTTTGTTTTAGGTCATATCGATGTATCGTAAGCTCTTTAAAAATATTTAAATATTTATATTTGATGAACAATTAATTGTTTGGTGCACAACTAGAAATGTTATTAGAGCTGCTTAAATAAATTTAACAAAATTGATTAAATCTATGTTTTTGTTGTCCGTCAATATAGCGTCGATCGTTCTGTTCGAAATGACCAACAATGGGAAACGAAAGAGTCTTAATAATATTTAATTTGTACTTTTTTAAATAAACTAAACAAAATTTATTTATAACAGTCAACTAACCTTGGACAGAAAAAATGGATAGTCTAATTGTTATATAAAAAAAGACTCTCCGTGTTCTATTTTCCACCGTTCCATTTCAACGCTTATTTATCGGACATTTATTAAGTTTCAGTTCTTTAATGTTTGTATTAACGGCTTTACAATTTTTTTAGATTAGTTTTTCCATTTTTTTTTTGACTGCGTATTTATTTGTAATTCATTTGGCAGGAAAAGTGTCTTGCTGGACGACCTGTGTCATGACTCCAGATATTTATAAGTGTGACCGTGCTGAAACTTTGCTGGATAAAGAAATCAAAGAAAATTCAAAAACGCAATCTTATAACGGTCAATCTTGAAGTAGCTGAAAAATTAAATTATTGTCATGTGATTAAGATATATCTTATAATCAGAATCGCGGTTTCGAAAATCGATTTTTGGAAATTAAAAATATCTGAATATGGAAAATGTGAGATAGAAAAAGTTAATTAGCCCTTGCAGGGTACAATAATTTTAGTCAGAAACCAGTTACGCTGTGAAGAAGTTATTCCGACCCTATAATCAAATATATTCTTGATCAGCATTAGCCAAGTCGATCCCATCTCCAGACAACAAAATTAGTTTTTTTTTAATTTTTTGAAAATTTTATATCAAGAAATTAAAAAAAAATCAAACTACGTTTATTTAACATTTTAAGGCATTTATTAGTTTTATTTATTTTCGCGTAGCAACCAAGAGAATGGAGAAGTGTTTGCGGCAAATGGGCTCCTAGAAAAAGTAAATTTTATGGATTATATTTTATGGATTTAAAATTCCTTGGATGTCTGAAATAAAATAAATAATTAAATTAAATAAATAAAAATAGGAAACCCATATACATTTACCAGTTTAAATCTCCACAAAAGTACCTGCTAGAAGAAAACAAAATTTTACATATATTTAAATTCTAAGAAATATCTAAAAAATCGACTTGGTTTTTTACCTGTTTGAAGTTTAAAATAATAAAAATTCTTACATGATTAGGGAATCTTTATAAAAGAATAGTGTTTCAGTGATTAACCGCAAGATTTATTTATTATCAGTGTGGTCTTGTTCTCAGTTTAAAATTGAATTTATTTGTAATTTGATTCAAGAAACTATACTTAGATATATGTATGTAATTATGCATATGTACAAGTATAATTTCCGAGTCCGAACCTATTGGCCTTAAAAAGGACACAGATATTACGACAATGCATCTAAATATTTCTTAATGTTAAGGTATTCATTTATCGATTAAGCTCATTGGCACTACTTTCGTACATTGTGGATGAGTATTCATCCATGGTTAAGTGGCTGTTGCCTTCGATTAGACCTGAATCCATATTGGAATAATCCTTAGATGTCTTACTTAAACCATCACTACCACCACAGAAAGGAAGACAACCCATTCGCCCGATATCATTTGGATTATTCGAATCCAGAGCATTCTCAGCGCCCGGGGGCATATTTGAGCAATGCTGAGGACAATTATCGCAAGGATTCTTTTCAGTTGACACACCACCATTGCCAGATTGGCATGAATTCGGAGAAGAGGAAGGCTCATACTTCCGTGGCCGCCCTCTTGATAAGTGCCGCCTTTTAACAAACTCATTATCGTCGACCATCCAAAACGAGCCAAAGTCGTCCTCGTAACGCACAAAGCACTTGTGCAAAGATAGGTTCGTACGTATCGCGTTCTTCGATAGGTATTATAGTTGGGGTTTTAGATAAAATGTGTTTGTTAAACCAAGATCACCAACAAGAGTCATAAAGAGGAAAACGCATTATCGGGAAAGGAAGAAAATTTTTCATTTATAAAGGAATTTGATTACGCTTTTTCTCTTAATAAGCGATACTGTTATTTCCGCAACATTTTGATAATTTAACATACACTTGTTAGTTTATAATTCATCGACCTGTTCTATAAGCGGACTGACTACTAAGCGGACAGACAAACATATTTCCTTTTAATTGATGCTAAAACCCCAAGAAACTGCTGTAAAAAATCATATATTTTCTTATGGTATTTCAATGTAACCACAGATTATATATCTTTTTAATAAACATGCATTTAGTGGCATATATCGTATATTTACTAACAGAGCAAAATTTAAGGAAGTTGGAGCAAAGTTTATATTGAACTATTTAAAACCCACATACCCAATGTTCATAGCTACAAAATAGTTAGTGTCCGGCGAATTGGTAGCACCTGCTAAGTTGTTACCAATGCCAGCGGTGCGTTGCGGTCTTCTTTTGTAAAACTCAATTTCATCAACTGTCCAAACAGCTCCTTTCACATTCTCAACACGCATAAAGCACTTATGAAGGGACAGATTATGCCGAACTGCATTCTAATGATTTATATTATAGGTTAGATTTTCCAATTAAAGAAATGTTTTTAAATTTAAATTAAATGAATTCATTAACCAGAACGTGCAATAGTAACAAGTAAATTAAGGTTAGTTAACTGTTCGTAGTGATATCTCGAGTCCGAAAATGAATAATCGGACAGACAATCTTAATTCTTATGCTTATAAAGTAATATTATAAAAAAACATGCTTAATTGAAATATACAAAAATTACCTTCCACGTGGCTGCATTTCGGCGGAAATAGCAGAATGTATTTTGGAACCAGTTGTAGATTTCGTTAAGGGTTAACTGCTTGTCGGGGGAATCTATGATGGACTATACATAAAATAAGATAGAAGACATCCTAGAATGATTTTTATTACATCTTAATTTGAAATTACCTGTCTTATAAGCGATGCATAAGTAAAGGGCGGTCGTACATCAGCATTTTTGTAAAATTCTCTATTCCGTTGAATTTCTATAACATTAATTGAATTGTTGTATTTCTGCATTAAAGAAGTACTTTTAAAAATATTGATTAAATACCTTGTTGCACATCAAGACCAGCTCTTTCCAGCATGTAGGGCAATCCTAAAGATTTAAAGATACATGCATTAGTTACACATTATTACTAAAAAGAATATCCTGTACTTACCACCATTTATGGAAAATGAATTTTTGTCATGATTTCTCTTCTTGATGGAACATAAGTTGGTTGCGTTAACCATTGGGAGATTGAGAGGGCCAGGCGAACTTGTTTGGCGCATCGGTCGACCTATGCTATTTATTGTGATCGGACTTCTGCAAAACTTTCCCTCCCTACCGGGTACATCCTTCAATAAACATTACAGTTAAAATAATTATATAATTACATCTCGTAACTTTCGTACCTTTCTTTCCATTTTGGTGGGTGATAAAAGTTGCTTTGACAGATATAGGTGATGCATCATGGCCTGCAAGCGATCCCTTTCCTTTTGAAGATGGGACTCTAGTTGGGAAACCACTTGCATTTGAACACGAGCTTGGGCTGTAGACCGATCATCCAAGCCATGTTCAGAGTTCAGATGCCTTAGAATAAATATATATAAGACCTTGAACTAAACCTAAATATATGTTATGGACTGACTTACTTAACGAATGACGCTATATCTTCTAGGTCTATTTCGCAGCCAGGCCACCGGCATATACCATGGGCAAATAAAGGATGATAATACTTGCGCATGGCGAATTCGTCGTGCATATAGCTGTAATCATTACTGCACACCTCGTTATCCTTTGATCTTAAAAACCTCTCGGCATCCGAGAACATAAGCTTCTCCTGCTCCGAAATAAATTCGGGAACATTGTAAAAACTAAGATCGGGAACAGGACCCATCATGTGCTGACCCTGGATGTGCATGTGGGGATTGGGTTCCTGCTGAGCCGTAGATGTTGATTCGTCCAGGCTTGAGGCTGGAGAGCTACACTTTACTACATGTGAGGCAAAGGCTATCGAGTTATTTAAGAAACTAGATGGCTGAAAGCAGTTATTTTTGACAGCATCTGTGCATATGTCTGGAATGGAAAGTTGGTGTCGCGGTTTCACAGATATTTCCTTCTGAAGAATGGATCCCTTAAAGTCTGCTTCCTTGGCGTCTTCAGAGTACTCGTCGTCATGTATCCGATGCATACTTGGAAAACTAAAATGTGAAGATGTTACGGAGGGATCTTCAATAAAAGTAGCCATTTATTTAATTCCTAAACAATGCTTTCAGATTACAACTGAATTAACCATAATTAAAGGCTTTGAGAAATATTTAGTTGAAAAGAAAGCCTGCTTTGCAGTTACCACAGCTATCACTAGTCTTTCAATTTTCAAATCCTAAAATTGGTTGTGAGCTTTATAAGCATAAAACTCAATTGCTAGATCTGTCTAATTGATTCTCATAAAGATCTACTGGTAAAATTGAGAATCTGAAGTGTGTCAGGCTCAAGGATGAAGTTTACTTTGGTCACATCAACTCTTGTTCATTTGAAAGAGCCGATTACAATGATTTTTACTTACTTTTTAGAAAGTAAGCATTCTACATACAAAATTTAAGGCTTTAGATACAAAATGATCTCTTTGAAAGCACATTTTTAGATTACTTGCGATGTTTAATAATTTTTATTTAACCTTTGAATGGTGTTAAAAAAGCCTAAGAAAAGTTACAGAAGAAACTTTGCTGTCTTTTTTATCAGACTTCTTAAATTACCATCCGAATCCGAACTGAAAAAAGAATTTCCCAGAGGATTCAGTGATCCTCCAAGCCATTCCAAAATAATTACTATTATGTAAAATATATCTTGAGACATCTGCGATCGCATTTGTAGAACTTTAGGATTACTTACCAACTTCATATATATATGCAATATGCAATAAATGCCATTGAAATTAAATAATTCAACACAAATACAAACCAATGTTCATTTCATAAGCTGAACTCTTTCTATGAGAAGACTTGTTATAATAGAGATGCAAAAGTTTATATAATGCCCGGAAGTCCTGTAAAAAACAAATATTAGTCATAACGGAATGCTTCTTATTGAACATTCTTTTCATCTTATAAATCGTTTTACTCATTGGACAAATGCTGGACTTTTCAGTAAGCACTAAGGGATAGCAGACGGATATGAGAACAGACGGACATAAAGGACTCAATTAGGATAAAAATTGGACGGAAAGAAACAAACGGACAAACGGATTGCCAGACTTTTGGAATATCTTCAAAACAGACACAAGAAATGCCGTCACAATTTAGTCTTCACAGGTGGAATAAACCATTGTTTAGGGAAATAATTAAGCAGAAGTGAATCATTCATCTCTTCATATCGTACCTAAAGAATATTTAAATATTATATATTCAATTTAAAAGATATACATAGTTGTGTAAAGATGTTGTGTAACCTGAAATAAAATTGTTACATTATATGAGAATGAGAAAATAACACCTATTTGCAGCAATTAGTAGATAATATTGGCATTAACACCAGAGGAAATTTATGATTTCTTTTGGTTCATTATAATATAGAATAGAATTAGAATAGAAATTGATATTGTTATTGTATTGATTGTAAAGCCAGATGCCTGCCGTTTCTGCCTTACCTAAGAGTATTAACCATATTTAATTTAACGGTCCTTAATTTCTTCATTTATCTTAATTATATATATTTCCTTTATAGGTACTTGATAAAGGCGGTATTATGCTTATTTCAGGTAAAACTAATAAATTGAAGAGATGTTTCCTGGTCCTCATTGCAAGGACAGTCCACAGTTCTTCTTATCCATCTTAAAAAATAACTTAACTTTTTCTTTTTCTTACAATCAAAGTTCGTTTGCAGACGAAAGTATACACATAATTCCTTATGTGCAAACCTAAGGCCTAACTAACTTAACTTAAATAATATTTAGCGAGAGCAACTTATCTTAATGTAACTTAATTCTATAACTTTGTTGATAGCTATAATCCTATCTTATACAACTTTTTTAAATTTTCTTGTAAGACTCCCATCCTATGACAAAATCGATACACATACAATTTTGCAGACACGATGAGTGCAAAGTTCTATGTGCATTTACAATTAAATAACATTCACTTGCAGTTTCTGGGAATATGATATATTTAATAACACATATTAATACAAATATACACTAAATTTAAGGTAAAAAAAGGTGTCTAATCTATAATAAAATTTTCTGTGCTTCCTCTGAAATGGTACGTCTGTCTGCTACTGAAGAAAAATTCTAAAAAGTATTGTACACATTTTTGAGCATGCGCTTGGAATGTCAGAGGTAAGCCCATGCAGCACTGAACGATTTAACGTATTTAAAAATTGCACCTTAAATTGAACCGTTCTTATTTCTTAATTCATCCATAAAAGTAATATTCAATAAATTTTGAAAATCGCTTTAAATATAATCGCAACTTTTTTGAAATCTAACGTAAGTTTCTTAAATTTTGCACTATTCCCGACATCTGAGAATAAAACAGTTACCTATATGTAGGATCATGGGTAGAAAAGTTAAATCGATCATAAATAAGTAAAAGATGAATTAACACCAATCTGGAAAGCTTTTCTGTATTGGCTTGTATAAGGATACTAACATTTTGCGCCTGATCCCTACTATTACTTCAACATATATGACATAATTGTCATGGTTAAGACTTACCGCAGCACGCACGGTTCACCTTTTCCATCATGACTTAATTCCTTCCGGTGTAGAGTTGTATTCTTGATGACTTTGTTACCATCGAAGTGAGCTCCTTCCTGGTTATCCATATCCAGGTGATATTTTTGGGGCCGAAGGGCAAGCACTATCACTGATACCACTATCACCAGAGATGTAAACAGTGGGGAGGCCACAGACAGACTGAAGTCAGAGCGGCGTCAGTGCCTCTATTTATATTCTCCAAGTGAAGAGAACAGAGAAAGTGAGAGCGAGAGCGATAGAGAAAGAGGCATCAATAGAGATGCACAGAGAGAGAGAGAGATAGAAATACTTAAAGGGGGAGAGAGCAAGAGAGAGACAGAGAAAGTTCGAAATGTTGCAAATGGGCTCGGCTGTTGATGCTGATCAAGAATAAGAAATAATTCCTTCACTGCTTTGCAAACTTCTAACTTAAACTATAACACACTGCAAGGGTATTAAAATAAAGGCATCTCTGAATGCTAATAAATATTTCAATTCAAATTATAAAATATGCTTGTGTTATCTTTTTATTGCTCATATTTATGCGTGTGTATTTGATATACGTAAAGTGGATGTTTAATGAATATGTAGGTCTTTTCAAAATTCGGAATTCATAACTCAGTATTCCTCATCCTCGCCCAGCTCGGTGGTGGAGTCAATGCCCACCTCCTCGTAGTCCTTCTCCAGGGCAGCCAGATCCTCGCGAGCCTCCGAGAACTCGCCCTCCTCCATGCCCTCGCCGACGTACCAATGGACGAAGGCTCGCTTGGCGTACATCAGATCAAACTTGTGATCCAGACGGGCCCAGGCCTCGGCAATGGCCGTGGTGTTGGACAACATGCACACGGCGCGCTGCACCTTGGCCAGATCACCGCCAGGCACCACGGTGGGTGGCTGATAGTTGATGCCAACCTTGAAGCCAGTGGGACACCAGTCCACAAACTGGATGGAGCGCTTCGTCTTAATGGTGGCGATGGCTGCGTTGACATCCTTGGGTACCACATCACCGCGGTAAAGCATACAGCAGGCCATGTACTTTCCGCGCCGGGGGTCGCACTTCACCATCTGGTTAGCGGGCTCGAAGCACGCGTTGGTGATCTCCGCGACGGTTAATTGCTCGTGGTAGGCCTTCTCGACGGAAATGACGGGCGCATATGTGGCCAGGGGGAAGTGAATGCGTGGGTAGGGCACCAAATTGGTCTGGAACTCGGTGAGATCCACATTCAGGGCGCCATCGAAGCGCAACGATGCCGTGATGGAGGAAACGATCTGACCAATTAGGCGATTGAGGTTCATGTAGGTGGGTCGCTCGATATCCAAGTTGCGACGGCAGATGTCATAGATGGCCTCGTTGTCGACCATAAATGCACAGTCCGAGTGCTCCAGCGTGGTGTGGGTGGTTAAGATCGAGTTGTATGGCTCGACAACGGCGGTGGATACCTGAGACAGGAAACAGGAAACAAGTTACATTCAAAAGGGGGTCTTGTCGTTTCTTTCTTGTTTAATCAAACTTATTAAGTATTACTTTCTTATGCACATACTAATCACTTACTTGTGGCGCTGGATAGATTGAAAACTCCAGCTTCGATTTCTTGCCATAGTCGACGGACAGACGCTCCATTAACAGCGAGGTAAAGCCAGAGCCAGTGCCTCCGCCAAAGGAATGGAACACCAGGAATCCCTGCAGGCCGGTACACTGATCCGCCAGCTTGCGGATCCTGTCCAGCACCAAATCGACAATTTCCTTGCCAATTGTATAGTGACCACGGGCATAGTTGTTGGCCGCATCCTCCTTGCCAGTGATCAACTGTTCAGGATGGAATAGCTGCCTGTAGGTGCCTGTGCGAACTTCATCCACGACAGTGGGCTCCAGATCCACAAACACGGCACGGGGCACGTGCTTACCAGCTCCGGTCTCGCTGAAGAAGGTATTGAAGGAGTCATCGCCACCGCCAACGGTCTTATCGGAGGGCATATGACCATCAGGCTGGATTCCGTGCTCCAGGCAGTAGAGCTCCCAGCAGGCATTACCAATCTGGACGCCAGCTTGTCCAATGTGAACCGAAATGCATTCCCTCTATCAGATTTAATACAATTTATTAAGATTTTAAGTTATTCTTATTGATACTGAAATATGTTGAAGCTCTAATTTAATTCAAATAGTTTATTGAGAATATGCTGCTGTAGGGTAACTTAATAGAACTTTTGACCATCTGTTTTAAATTTATTTAAATTGTTGAAGACTAAAGGTATTCAAGTTCCAATTTTACAGGAGTCTTTCCATTAGTGGATTTAAAGTTCCTTACAAAGTTAATTGACATTACTTGAAGGATCTCTTTTATCACTTTCACTATTCTTCAGGTAGAATCCTTTTTTATTACCAAAAAGGCAACGGATCTTTCAGGCACAAGCACGATTTGATATTTATTTCCAACATCCATTATCCTTACCATCTTAAGGCTTTGACTGATCCTTAACTTTAACACAGAAGATTCAACGTACGAAAATCCTAGCACTTGTCTGTGATGCGACGGAGCTGGGAGTAAACTAACCCGAAGCTCTGCGATACGCGTTCTTTTATAACCCTCACAGACGACGGCATATATGCCATATATGTGGATGTCTAATGAACTGTGCCCGTGTTCATCGACTTAAGTGGTACCAATATACCCACCCAG